TTTTACCTTTTACCTTACATATATGTGCATGTGTGCACACACACACAAACCACTTAGGGTTTCTTCTAAAAATTGTATGTACTTCTGCAAAGCATGGAGCTCCCAAAGGTTGCCAACACCTCCAGCTTGTGGGTGGGTGGTGTCGTTTTGGCTGCAGAAGGATCATCACTTACCTCAGAACATTGCAATTAAAGGGAGCAACATTTCAAGCAAGAGGAAATGTTATCTAACACTGTTTGAATGGAATTACCAGATTTTTAACAGAATGATTTTCATTTAGCTAATCAAAATATATCTCCGGTGCTTTAAGCTTTAGGGAAAAAATACTTCTTTTACCATTTTATATACTGTGTCATTAGTATTCCTTTAAAAATAGATATCAAAACACATTTGCCAACAAACAGCAGAAAGTATGAGTTGCCAGACTTGAAGCAGCATTTAATACGAAGAACTGTTTAGCAGGAACACTGATTTCATATGCTAAGATCCATATGCCCATCTATAGCCAAGCATTCTTTCTCCCATACAGTGGCCAGACCGATCCCCCTAGGAATCTCAGCAAAGCAGTTCTTCATGTTCACATTACCTTCTGTAGAAACCTCAATCTTTCCTTCCAAAGGCCAGCTGGATTCTTCCTATCTTTAGGAAGGGGCCCGAAAAACTGGCTTAGATCTTAGCAGACTTGCTTTCTAATAAATAGCATTTTGGTGCTTAAGATAGCTTTACCTGCAAATTATGTGTTAGACTGGCAGTTACACAAGCCCTCTGATTGTTCAAGCTGAAGCTGGTAAAAGAGCATTTATGCTACTGCCACCTTCATAGTGCCTTGGAGAGCAGGGCCTGGATTTGAGAACTGTGCACCCACTTCCAATCACTAGAACAAGCCCCACAATGAAACTGTGGATAAGAAAGAATGTACTGCATTCACTCCTAGTTCAGTGCATCTCACCTCCTACTACAAAGGCACAAATCTCTAGCAGCACACTGATCCCTAAATTAACAGAATCTGTTATGTCTCGTTGCAGGAAGTTCAGGATGAAAGGGCACAGTTTCACCACATTAAAGAACTAGGAACTGGAGAGAAGTACAGGTACAATATCCTCCTTGGATATTCACTTTGCTGCTACAGTAATGGCAAGGATTAAATTCATTTTTCCCCATCTCAAGGTTCTGTACATCTTGCACCTTTTGACCTGAAGCATGCATAATTGAAATCCCAACAGCAGCAGTTGCAGAATACCTCTTATTTGGACTAAATGTCAGTAATGGTGAACTGGAAGAGTTCTGTGAAACTCAAAAGCTAGCTAGCTTTGTTGTTTTTTTTACATTACTTTCTGTTGGTTCAAATAAAGGTATTATATTATTGCTCCTGCTGCTACTGCTACTGCTGGGAATTTTCTCTGATGAACTCACACCGCTGCCTATATTATTATTATTATTGTCTGTTGTCGAGAGTAACTGAAATTGTAGACTAAAACACATCTAAGGAAATGTAAGGAGAGAGAAATTGTTAATGATCCCAGCAAATAGAGATCTAACACCACCTGCCTTGGAATCTCCCACTATGAAAAAAAGAGGCAGGAGAGGAGAGGCTGTGCGACCATACTCAAATAAAGTCTGTTGCTCCCTATTAGAAAACAGACACGGAAACAGTCTCTGTACAAGAACCACCAGATATTTCAGAAAGAGGCAGGTCCTGAAAAAGGAGGGCAAATAAAGTAGCCCTCAAATGCTCTGAGAGTATCAGGCAAGGAGGTTCCTGTTGAGAGAAGGAAGATTGGATCAAAAAATCCAAAGAATGTAAATGGGGAGGGAAGAGAAATAGACTTTTGAGGACAGCAACAGTCTTACCCATTCTTAAGCAGGACCTTGGCTGGTACCTAAGGAAAAGGTACCAACATACACACACACACACACACACACAGAGAGAGAGAGAGAGAGAGTGTATGTGTCTCTTTCTAACAGCACTCAGTTCCCAAGAAAAGGGAATGCTGATTATATTCTCTAGAACCATTCTGTCAATTGTGACTAAGAGCTTCATGAGTTGGGAGGGCGAGAAGGTGGATCAGGGGGCCCCATTCTTTACATTGCTCCAATTATTAAAGGGAGGAATGGGGACTCTTCACAGAACGCCTTTCTCCTGCACTTAGGCTAATTCCTCAGGAATTTCTGGGTTAGGAGGCCAGGGGGTGAAGAAACTACAAAGAATGTGTTTAATTTAAAGGAACTATGAGTGGAAGAACTAGTGCAGCCTTTCCTGACCTGGTGCCCTCCATTCAGGACTCTCTGTTTAGGGAAATTTTTAATGTTTGATGTATTTATTGTGTTTTTAATATTCTTCTGGGAGTGCCCAGAGTGGCTGGGGAAACCTAGCCAGATGGGTGGGCTATAAATATTTATTTATTTATTAACACACCCCAGCCAACATGGAGTCCAGCAGTCACAGGCTATCTTATATCAAGCCCACCAACTCTGTATTGTTGACACTGACATTCAAAGCTGAACCTGGGAACCTTAATAATAATAATAATAATAATAATAATAATATTTTTTTATACCCTGCCCATCTAGCTGGGTTTGCCCAGCTTGTCTAGGTGGCTTCCAGCAAAATATAAAAAATGATAAAATGTCCCCGGAACAGGGCTGCCTTCAGATGTTTTTTAAAACTTGTGTGATTCTTTATCCCCCTGACATCTGATGGGAGGGTATTCCACAGGGAGGGCACCAACGCCAAGAAGGTCCTCTGCCTAGACTTTCTGGATGCAAAGCAGGAGCTCTGCCATCTAGCTACAAACCTTCGCAAACAGGAACACGGGAAGTTTCAAGACATTGATCCATCCAGCTTAGTATTGTCCCCCGAGGTTTCCTTCCCAGCGTGACCTGGGGATGCCATGGGGGGATAGAACCAAGGCCCTTCTGGATGCAAAGAAGATGCTCTGCCAGTGAGCCATAGCCCTTCCAAAGCAGAAACACAGGAAGGTGCCTTATATCGAGGCAGACACATTGCTCTGTCTACCTCAGTACTGCCTACACTGACCGGCAGCAGCTCTGGAAGGTTTCAGGACAGAACAGTATTTCCTTGCCCTACCTGGAGATGCCACTGGGGACTGAGCCTGGGGCATCTGCAGGTGCTTTGCCACTGATGGGGAGAGGGCTGGTTGGCAGAGCAGCCTGCACTTAATGTGTTGCAAGCCACTCAGAGCAGCTGGGGCAACCGAGTCAGATGGGTGGCACATTAATAATAATAATAATTTAAAATTATTATTATTGTTGTTGTTGTTGTTGTTGCGCTTGCAGGGACCCAGGGGGCTGGCCTTCCCTCCTACACCTCTCAACCCAGAACAAAAGCCCTGCTGAAGGAAGGGTGAAGAAGAGGAAGAATTGGCACTTTTGAGCACCTCAGCCTAACAGGACGGGGCTGTGCTCACCCACAGGCAAAAGCGGGATTTTCGTCATAGAATCAACTGCAGGGTGGGTAGGGGGTCCCCAAGGGCCATCTAGTCTAGCCCAGCCCTTGTAATGCAGGAAATCTGTCTTGCCACGGTGAGGAGAGTGTGCTGGACTTAAGGTGAGGCCCATTGGGACTTGATCCCGCAGCCAGGCTCTTAGAAGCATAGAATCATAATATTAATAATAAATTTTATTTATACCCTGCCCTCCCCGGCCACAGGGCAGCTAACACCAACAAAATCACACTAAAAACATAATAGGGGGAAAAGAGGGGGGGGAACCAATTTAAAATACAGGTTAAAATGCAATTTAAAATGCAGCCTCATTTTAAAGTAGCCGATAAATCAAGACCCTAAGGGGAGGGAAACATAAGGGTCAGACCGAGTCGAAACCAAAGGCCAGGCGGAACAGCTCTGTCTTGCAGGCCCTGCGCAAAGGTGTCAATTCCCGCAGGACCCTAGTCTCTTGTGAAAGAGCGTTCCACCACGTCGGGGCCAGTGCTGAAAAGGCACTGAACTGTAGAGTCGGAAGGAACTGAAAGGATCATCCAGCCGAACCCCCTACAATGCTGGAATGTGTATATATATATATATATATATATATATATATATAAACACGCTGGATGATCCTTTCGGTCCCTTCCAACACTACAGTTCAGTGCCTTTTCAGCACTGCCCCCGACGTGGCCGAACGCTCTGTCCCAAGAGATATATATAGAGAGGACACATTTGCCAACTTCTCCTTTTAACTACGAGTCTCTACGGCGGCTCTACCCATTAAAAAGAGGGCGTGTCCTGGGGGAAAAGAGGACATATGACAACCCCACCTGCGGGGACCGAACCTGTAACTGTAGAGAATTCTAAGGAAAAACCATCTTCCGCAGAAACTGCTGCTTGCCTTCTATCACTGTGCCATTGAGAGCGTGCTCACTTATGGCTTCTGTGTGTGGTACGGGAAGCTGTACTACCCAGGACAGGATGGGGTTGTGCAGAGTTGTCAAGGCAGCAGAGAGCATTGTTGGCTGCCCACTCTCCACCTTAGAGCAGATTTATGCCACAAGGTGCCATAGGAAGGCACTGGACATAGTAAAAGATCCGTCGCATCCTGGTCACTGTCTCTTCGAGCTCCTGCCGTCGGGACGGAGATACAGGACGATGAAGACAAGAACGAGCCGCCTTAAGAACAGCTTCTTCTCCAGAGCGATCTCGGCCCTGAATGGGAAGCCTGGACTTTGAAAGTCATCTCATCTTCCTTGCTGTACTATACTGTATTGTTTTAATTAGGGTTTTTATGGAGCAGTCAAGTAATTTCGTTGTCCCCGAGAGGGGGTAATGACAATAAAGATGATATTATTATTATTATTATTATTATTATTATTATTATTATTACTATTATTATCATTATCATCAGCACCACGCTCTATCCAGTTCCCTGCCTCCGGATTGCATTCACACACGCGCACCCAAACACGCCTCTCACTGGAAAGGGGCCCCCAGGGGTCATCTAGCCCAACCCGCCGCAAGGGGCCTTCAGAGCGAGATGGGAGCTACCTTCTTGACGGTGCGCGGCGCCTCCGTGACGGTCCCGTCGGGGCTGACCAGGGCCTCGCCCAGCTGCCCGCCCGCGCCGCCGCCGCTGCTGTCGCCCCCGTCTCCGGCCAGCCGAGGCTGCTGCTGCTGCTGCTGCTGGGCCCGAGAGGAAGCCTGAGGCGCGGGCTCGCTGCGCTTCATGGCCGAAGCCTGAGGCGCCTTGGCGGGGGCCGGCGCGCCTCCGCCTGCCGCGACCGGCGGGCCGGACTCGGCGGGCGGCTGAGGCGGCGGGTTGGGCGGCGCGGAGGCGGCCTGAGCGCAGGCCCCGGACCCCCCTCCGCCGCCGCCGCCGCCGCCTCCTCCGGCCTTGTCCAGCGGCCCGCCGCCCAGCTCTTTCAGCTCCACGGCCGGAGGGGCCGCCACGCGCACCGACATCATCGCCGCCTCAGTGGGGCCCGAGGAGGACGAGGCGGAGGAGGAGGAAGACGACGACGACGACGCCGGCTCTCGCCTCACACACTGGCGGCCGGGCGGACACGCGCGCCCTCGCTCCCTCAGGCCAAGCCCCGCCCACTCTCGCCGCGCGGGGGCTCACGGGATTTGCAGTCCGTCTGGGAGGGGGGAGGCTGAGGAGAGGAGGACTACCGCTCCCGGCAGGCGCCGCGGGCGAAGCGCGGGATCCAATCGCGGGGCGGGGAAGGGGCCGCGCAGGGGACGCTGGGGGTTGGAGTTCTTAACGGCTCTTTCTCTCCCACCGCCCCTTTTCCTTCCTAATTGTTTAGAGTCGCGGATCTCAACCTGTGGGTCCGCAGATGTTGTTGGACTACAACTCCCATCATCCCTGAGCTCTGGCCTTGCTAGCTAGGGGAGATGGGAGTTGTAGTTCGACAACATCTGGGGACCCACAGGTTGAGAAAGGCTGGAACTTAGACCAATTCATGAACCACATTGACCACTAATAATGGAACATGTTGTACAGGCATAGGCAAACTCCAGATGTTTTGGGACTACAGCTTCATTCTAAGAAGATCAAACCTCTCCATTCTGAAGGAAATCAGCCCTGAGTGCTCACTGGAAGGACAGATCCTGAAGCTGAGGCTCCAATACTTTGGCGACCTCATGGGAAGAGAAGACTCCCTGGAAAAGACCCTGATGCTGGGAAAGATGGAGGGCACAAGGAGAAGGGGACGACAGAGGACGAGATGGCAGGACAGTGTTCTCGAAGCTACCAGCATGAGTTTGACCAAACTGCGGGAGGCAGTGGAAGACAGGAGGGCCTGGCGTGCTCTGGTCCAGGGGGTCACAAAGAGTCGGACACGACTAAACGACTAAACCACTCCCACCATCCCTGACCATTGGTCCTGTTAGCTAGGGATGATGGGAGTTGTAGTCCCAAAACATCTGGAGAGCCGAGTTTGCCTATGCCTGATGATGTAGATATTTTTATCCACATTTATTATGCTGTTTTGTGATATGCAAACTTGGTATACATATTTGTATAACATTATTCTTGTTCATAAAACCCAATTAAAAAAATAACATATCTCTCTCTCTCTGCCTAGAGCTCTTAATATATCTCATATGTCAATCAATATCTCATACTCCCCCAAACATTCCTCTGATGAAAATAGGGACGTCTGTAGAAAAGACGACGACCTGAAAAAAAGACAATGCATGTACTTTTGTAAACCAAGAAAATCTTTAATAAAAATTGTTTCTAGGAAAAAAACAGGAACCAAGATGGCTTCTGTATATCTGGGACCGTCCCTGGAAATTATATATCTATAATTATATATCATTATTTTATATGTATATCTGGGACACTAACCCAGAAATAGTACCTCGGGTTAAGAACGTTGCTTCAGGATGAGAACAGAAATCGTGCGGTGGCAGCAGGAGGCCCCATCAGCTAAAGTGGTGCTTCAGGTTAAGAACAGTTTCAGGTTAAGAACGGATCTCCAGAACTAATTAAGTACTTAACCCGAGGTACCACTGTATTTTAAATTGGTGTCCCCCCCCCCTTTTCCCCCTATTATGTTTTTACTGTGATTTTATTGGTGTTAGCCACCCTGAGCCCGGCTCTGGCCGGGGAGGGCATGGTATTTATAAATTATTATTATTATTATTATTATTATTATTATTATTATTATTCAGACAGACCCCACCACCACAACCCACAGCCTCCATAATAATCCAATCGCACCAGAGATTCTGGAAAGTGAGGGGGAATCTGTGGATTAGTTTTTTGCCAGCGTTCCTAGAAGCAGAACCGCAGGCACTCCACATCCCACATCCCAGGCAGGTGACTCACAAGGGCTTATGGCGCGGTTCTGTGGCAGCCGAGGAGCAGCATCCTTAGCGGAAAACCCTCCCCGTGGCTTCTGCTTCACAGATATCTGTCTAGCAACGCGTCCGTTCCTTCACACCCACATCTCTCTCTCACACGCAGGCAGCTCTGCCAAGCGAAGGCGCGGGAAGGAAAGTTCAGACATCAGTGGAGAAAAACATGTGCAGGTGGAGAGAGGCTTGTGGCATGTGGGCAAGCCCACTGGTCTGGGAGAATCCGAGGCCTCCCTTTGCACAGCCACAATGTGCCAAGGGAAAGGGTTGTTGTAAACAAAAATCTGCCCTTTTTTCCCTTATGGGGTACCCAAGAGCCCATATAGAGTCCTTACGTAGGTTCCCTATTGGTAGGAGAAAATAACAGAGGCCAACCAGAGAATATTGAGAAGCAAAACAGCTGGTAAGCCTGGTCTTTATTGATCTGTTGCAACAGGGTCCTCACTCACCGCACGCAGGAGGGAGGAGGAACCCAGAACCAAGGTGTGCTTGCACTTATATAGACATTTGAAATTCCCTGCCCTGGAGCTCAAGACCATCCCTCCATACATCATGCATACATCACAGAAGGGGTGTAACCTAAGACCACCCCCCAGATACAACATACCTACATCACAGAAAAGACCGTCTACAGCAGAAATCTGAGTGCGTTGTTTATCTCGTCTGACAGGTTATCTACTTAATGGTCACTTGATTGGATTGCCTGGGGAGCCTGGCCAGTCTTTTGTAATGATAAATACTTAGTTCCTGAGCCAGGTCACAGGCTCACCCTATTCATACACAGACATTCCCTTAAGACAGGATTTGTGAAGGAAAAGACAACGGGGAGGCTTTTCCATTTTCCTTTGACCTTGCAGAGAAAACATTTGGTCAGTTTGGGAATCAAAAATGGTTTCAGGTCGGTCTTCCTGTGCTGATCTATGTACGTGCTTGGTTGGCACACTTATGAACATTTAACATATATCTAAGACCTCAAAATTCCTATCACAGGGTTAGGCAAGGGAAATAGGAGCAGTCAAGAGGATGGAGCGACTCGGCTATGAGCAAAGGGCACAGCACTGGGGGCTGTTTTGCTTAGACCAGTGATGGCCAAACTTGGCCCTCCAGCTGTTTTGGGACTACAATTCCCATCACCCCTGGTCCTGTTAGCTAGGGATGATGGGAGTTGTAGTCCCAAAATAGCCGGAGGGCCAAGTTTGGCCATCACGGGCTTAGACAAAAGAGAAGTCTGCAACATGGTGCATTGCATGGAGGCAGCAGAGAGAGCAGCTTTTCATGGACATCCGTCAAATTTTAGTATACATGCTGCCAAAGCAAGAACGTGGACCTCCAAGGAAGTGGGATGTTGGGAGATTCTCAGGGCAGAGAAAAGAAAGCCCTTCACACAGGTGCAGTGTTAAAACTGTGGAACTCCCTCCCACTGGAGACAGGGATGGCCACCAACTTGGGACAGCTTTAAAAGAGGACTGTCACGCTCAGGTTTTGCTTGCAAGTTCTGCAGGCATCCGCAGAACAAAATGCTTTACTAGATGGGCTCTTTTTGTGTCCTTATTATTCCGTACTGCTTCTGAGCTCTCTGATGTTTTATTGCATTTGCCTATTGCGGTCTGCCTTCCTATCTTTTGTGAGTGGGCAGTACGTACGTATTTGTGCAAATAAATAAATTATTGTATGCACACTGTATGAAAATTTCAACTACCGGACCTCGGCCATCGGTACTTAGCAATACCCTTGCAAAGTTGGGCTAACAGTGTTAAGTTGTGGGTGAACATATCAGATGACACAGCGATTCTTCAAACAGCTCTTGTTTACAGTGTTACCTTGGGTTAAGTACTTAATTCGTTCCGGAGGTCCATACTTAACCTGAAACTGTTCATAACCTGAAGCACCACTTTAGCTAATGGGGCCTCCCACTGCCGCCGCGCCACCGGACCACAATTTCTGTTCTCATCCTGAAGCAAAGTTTTTAACCTGAAGCACTATTTCTGGGTCAGCAGAGTCTGTAACCTGAAGCGTATGTAACCTGAAGCGTATGTAACCTGAGGTACCACTGTATTCACAGGCCAGAACTGAACTGAACTGAAGGGTTCAGCCAGCCTGCTTATATAGAGCTCCACTACAATGCAACTGTAACAACTTTCTGTAACTATCCAATCACTGAACGTCACTTTCAATCCCTTATTTGCATATGTGGACCTGAGTGAAAACTATCTGCAGTATCCCCCTGCTGGCCCAGGGTGAGAACTTCAGTACATAATAAACAGCACCTCAAGGAGGCAAAAGGTGTCTTGTAATTCGTTGGGTTGCTTGTCCATCTAGTCCAGTGCTGCCAGCGCAGAGTCCTTCCCATGTTCTTAGCTTCCCTTTGCAACGGCAACTCTCGAGCCGCGCAAGCCAGATGTCAAGGCGTGCCTCTTCCTGCATTTGGCCTGGGGGCACAAATTCTCAGGAGAACTCGGCTGCCTCTGCACCTACAGCCTGTTAGTACGCCTTGCCCCGGTTCCTTGGCATTAGCCAATGTGCTGAGCTCCAGCTGTTGTCAGATCACAACACACATAGAATCAGAGATTCGTAGAGTTGGAATCATAGACCCCGAGGATAAACTCGTCCAACCCCCTGCAAAGCAACTCAGGTTATTATTTGTGGGGCAAATTTTTTTTAGTAAAAATTATAGCCCCAGAAGCATAAGGTCTCTCATATATAAATCATACGTTCATAAATTCACAAGGCAAACACATACATAAGTATATAAACCGCGTGTCTGAAATCGTGCAGGAGAGCAATCCTGAAACCATTTTGACTCTCCCAAATTGACCTCAAATGTTTCTCTGCAAGGAGGAAGGAAATGGGGAAAGCCTCCCCATTGTATCTTTGCTCACAAATCCTGTCTTAAGGGCGTACCTGTGTCTGAATAGGGTGAGCCTGTGACCTGGAGTCAGGAACTGAGTATTTACCATCACAAAAGGATGGCCAGAATGCCCAGGTAAAAGCAATCAGTGACCATTATCAGGTGCCCTAGCAGACAGGATTCTGCTGTAGACCGCCCCTTCTGTGAAGAATGTATGATGTTTTGGGCTACAGGGTGGGCCACTTCAAAAGTCTATTTAAGGGCTTGCACACCACTGTTCTGGGTTCCTCCTCCCTCCTGGGTGTGGTGAGTGGGGACCCTGTTGCAACAGTTAAATACAGATCAGGCTTACTAACTGCTTTGCTTCTCAATATTCTCTGGTTGGCCTCTTGTTATTTTCTCCTACCGATAGAGAACCTACATAAGGACTCTATATGGGCTCTTGGGTACCCCATAAGGGAAAAGGAGCAGTCTTTTCTTCTAACACAACTGCAACCTTGGCGTTCATCAGCACCACGCTCTAACCAGCCGAGCTATCCAGGCTGCTAACATCATCCATTCAGTGTGTTGGTGCTGATCTTTAAAGCCCTAAATGGCCTCAGTCCAGTATACCTGAAGGAGCGTCTCCACCCCCATTGTTCGGCCTGGACACTGAGGGCCTTCTGGCAGTTCCCTCCCTGCAAGAAGTGAGGTTACAGGGAACCAGGCAGAGGGCCTTCTCGGTGGTGGCGCCCGCCCTGTGGAATGCCCTCCCACCAGATGTCAAAGAGAAAAACAATTACTAGACGTTTAGAAGACATCGGAAGGCAGCCCTGTTTAGGGAAGTTTTTAATGTTTAATAGACTGTATAGTTAAAGCTCTGGTTTTCCCAGTAGTGATGTATGGAAGTGAGAGCTGGACCATAAAGAAGGCTGATCGCCGAAGAATGGATGCTTTTGAATTCTGGTGCTGGAGGAGACTCTTGAGAGTCCCATGGACTGCAAGAAGATCAAACACATCCATTCTGAAGGAAATCAGCCCTGAGTGCTCACTGGAAGGACAGATCCTGAAGCTGAGGCTCCAATACTTTGGCCACCGCATGAGAAGAGAAGACTCCCTGGAAAAGACCCTGAGGTTGGGAAAGATGGAGGGCACAAGGAGAAGGGGATGGCAGAGGACGAGATGGTGGGGCAGTGTTCTCGAAGCTACTAGCATGAGTTTGACCAAACTGCGGGAGGCAGTGGAAGACAGGAGTGCCTGGCGTGCTCTGGTCCAGGGGGTCACGAAGAGTCGGACACAACTAAATGACTAAACAACAAAAATTCTGTTGGAAGCCACCCAGAGTGGCTGGGGAAACCCAGCCAGATGGGTGGGGTATAAATAATAAATTGTTGTTGTTGTTGTTATTGCCATCGATCACATTGGCTGCGGCTGATTGGAGCTGCAGGCCAGCAACATCTGCGGACTGCAGCATGTTGGCCACCCCACAAGGCCCCCGTCTTAAGCCCCTGTCAGCTGCTTGTCTGTGCCACTGCAAACCTTCTGCCTCAGATTTCTGCGCCGATAATTGCCAGATCTGCACAGTGGTCATGAATGCAGCTCACGAACGGTCCATGTAGTCTGAAGGCAACTAATTGCCCCCTGTTAAGACAGACGGTGGAACTGCTTTGAAGACACATCCAGTTCCTTGCTCTGGAAGGAGCAAGGCAGCTAAATCCAGCTCCGCAGTGCCACCTGCCGGCAGAAACCTCACAAGGAAGATCTCCCCTTTTCTCTCTCTTCCCAGCCTTACAAGTCTAGGAATCTAGACCATCGCTCCATCCTGCCCAATGATGTCTACACTGGGGACTGAACCTGGGACCTCTAATACTGAGCTATGTCCCTTTCTAGAATTCATCATCGTGGAAAGAAAAGCTCTTGAGATCGTAAGGATACCAGATTTTCCCCAATGAATCCGGGGACACTTCAAATAAATAAATACTACACGTTTGGGCGCGGGTGGCGCTGTGGGTAAAAGCCTCAGCGCCTAGGGCTTGCCGATCGAAAGGTCGGCGGTTCGAATCCCCGCGGCGGGGTGCGCTCCCGCTGCTCAGTCCCAGGGCCTGCCAACCTAGCAGTTCGAAAGCACTCCTGGGTGCAAGTAGATAAATAGGGACCGCTTACTGGCGGGAAGGTAAACGGCGTTTCCGTGTGCTGCGCTGGCTCGCCAGATGCAGCTTTGTCACGCTGGCCACGTGACCCGGAAGTGTCTCCGGACAGCGCTGGCCCCTGGCCTCTTGAGTGAGATGGGCGCACAACCCCCGAGTCTGTCAAGACTGGCCCGTACGGGCAGGGGTACCTTTACCTTACACGTTCGGGACATTGATGCTGCAGCGATGGCGATTTGCTGCCTTGATCTCAACCACCACATTTCCCCTTCCTCTGAGGCTTCTATCTCCTTTCTCAGTGAGCCTGGGCAGCCCCTGAGTTGTGGGTTCTTCGGTGGTGGTGGTGGGGAAGCGGTGCGCAGTGGGTCAGCCATGGAAGGAGGGCCAAGAGCGGCGGCAGCGAGGCTTGGGCAGCGCGATGCCTCCCTTCCCATCGGAGCAGCCCCGACCCCATTCCCACTTTCGTGCAAGCATACAGAAATCAACTGGAATATAAAACAGTAAATATTTATTTGACAGCTGCGTATTGAAAATATACGATTTCTTCCTTTTCTCCGCCAGATACTTGGTTGCTTACAATGTACGGGTCTTGTCTTAACCCTACCCAAGTTCAGTAGCCTAGACTAGGACTTAAAAAAATACAGCACAGATCAGCCTTCTGGCCTGGGGTCTACAAACACCACCCCAGAGCACCCCATCAAAACATCAGCTATATTGGTGGGAATGACATTTATGAAGCAAGCTGTGATTCCCCAACAGCAGTTTGTTCTTGACTGTAAGGTCTTTGGGGGCAGAGACCAGTTTTCTTCTCCATTCTTTGCCGTACACGTCACAATCAATACCTTTTGGTCCTCCCCCTCTGTCCGTCAACTGCCACAAAAGCAATATGAAATACACTCCTCTCTTTTCTAGTTGTGCATCTCAGATGAACAAAACTCTTTTTGTGCTGGTTCAAATCCCACCCACTTGAAATACTCCAGAACTTTTAAATTTCTCTATTTGGAGAGCTGGCAGCTTTACACCGTTTAACAAATGGCCTGGTTTTCTCAGGAAGGGCGCCACAGAATTGTAGAGCTAGTCAAACTGCTTGCAATGCAACAATCGCAGCTGAATCGCCAAAGCACAATTAATTTTCTCCCAAACTCCGATCGGCATGTTAAGCATAGGTATCCTTAATTTAGATCATGGGTAGGCAAACTAAGGCCCGGGGCCAGATCCGGCCCAATTGCCTTCTGAATCCGGCCCGCAGGCAATCCAGGAATCAGCATGTTTTTACATGAGTAGAACGTGTCCTTTTATTTAAAATGCACCTCTGGGTGATTTGTGGGGCCTGCCTGGTGTTTTTACATGAGTAGAATGTGTGCTTTTATTTTAAATGCATCTCTGGGTTATTTGTGGGGCATAGGAATTCATTCATTTCCCCCAAAAAAATATAGTCTAGCCCCCTGCTGAAAAATTTGCTGACCCCTGATTTAGATCACTAAGTGAAACTAGAATAAAGATGGTCCAGTTGAGATGTTCCCAGAAATCAATGCTCATAGTGATAAGAATAAGCCACAGTGACCATAATTCACTGATTTTCCTCTTCCCCACTCCACATTAGAGGCAGGTGTAGAAAACCTGTACCTCCAGTTTGCAGCTAACCAGCTTACCAACAGTGACCAAATGTGGCTTAGGCAAGCCATTGTTTCCTCTCCAACCGGGATCTGAAATCGTATTTCAATCCTTGCTTTCAGAACTATGGTTTGCACAAACCAGTTTGCTGCATTTCAAGGAAACTGGGGGAGGGGGGGCAAGAGGAAGAGAGCAAGCCAATGCCAGTGAATTGGATCACTGAATCAAAATGCATTCGCTTAGGATCCTGCACTGTCGGGGGGTTGGACTAGATGGCCCCTGCCAACGCTACAATTCTTTGATTCTATAAGGATACCGAGGCTGTGAATTCTATACACATTTTCCTGGGAATAAATCCCATTCAACTCAATGGGGCTTACTCCTGAGTAACCATGCCGAAGATTGCACTGGTTGTTCTTTTTAACAGGATCTAGGGCTTGGTCGCGAACTGAGTCTCTCTCAGATCAGTGGGGATTACAGCGGACGCTCAGGGTGCGAACGTGATCAGTGCGGGAAGCACATTCGCAACCCGCAGCGCCGCGCGTGTGCATGCACGGGTTGCAATTCGGCGCTTCTGCACAAAGCGTGATTTAGCGCTTCTGCGCATGCGCGACTGCCGAAACCCGGAAGTAAACCGTTCTGGTACTTCCGGGTTTCGGTGGTCTGCTACCGAAAAAAATGAAGCGTCTGTAACCCGAGGTATGACTGTACTTCCAGATATATACAGACAGGACTGTGGCCTTCAACAGAGGTAATTTCCCCCCTTGTAGCTCAACCTTCCCCCCAAAAAAACCTTAGGAGGCAGTCCTTTGGGGACTGTTCCAATTACTATTTATTTCTTAAATCTGTATTCCCACCTCGTCAACGTTTTCTTCCCCCACGGGTGATTCCCAGGCAGTCTCCCATCCAGACACTGACCAGCCCCACACCTGCTTAGCTTCAGCATGGGGGGAGGCAGCCTCAGGCCATCCACCTTGGGACTACAAGACAGAAGTCATTATTTCTCCAACTAGGGACTGCTGGGTAGCATTTTTCTCTTTTAAAATTCATTTCCTATGAAAAAGCTACAAAGTCTAAGCTCTGACACTATTAAAACAAAAACTCACCTCTGCGCTTTATACGTCGATATGTTAACGAACGGCATGAAATTAAAAAAAGAGCAACAGAAATATTTCAACGTGTTACCAGAGCGGCGTCGCTCCCCCAAACTCTCCATATCCAATAGGACGTTTGTGTTTACTTAATACGACGGTTGCTTTCCCCCCATCCTTTATGCGAGACACAAGTGGCCATTCAATTCCGATGACGAAAATCAAGACTACAACTCCCATCAGGCAATACAGAGGTGGCACGCACTGCATGCTGGGATGCTTAGTCCTCGCAAGCAACCCTAGGCTTCTGATTCCCAACTGGGAATCCTTTCTATGGGGAATGTTCTCAGAGTAGGGTGAATCCCATTGGAAGGATCGCACAAAGTGGTCCTATAGAGGAGAGCTGGGGATCCTGTTCCCGCGGCCCCCCGATACTGCTGCACTACAACTCCCATCATCCCTGTGCTGCAGAGGATGATGGGAATTGGAGTCCAGGAACCTTCAGAAAGCTACAACTTCCCCCAGCCCTGTTGAAAGGAGTTGGTCCAGGCCTGCAACCTCCAGACTGGAGACTCTCCGGGGATTCAACCTGCAATATCCAATATCCAAGGGCTCTGGCACAGATTTGCAGCCCTGCCTTGCGCATGAATCTGTCAACAAAGCGCAATATACCCAAACCCGTCTATGCAGCCTCCTTGTCCAATCAATATTTTTCTCCAGGTGCCCTTGCGACACCTATTTGCCAAACGTCGAATGTGCAAGGCAAGAGCTGGATCTCCAAAGCATGGATCCTACACCAGGGTGGAGGAACTCAGGCCTGGGGTCTGAACCTGGCCCTGAAGACCTCGATATCCGACCCTCGGATCTGTCCCCAGGCCCCAAGGCCAGCGTGTTTATGGGCGGCCGGAACATGTCACTGAACTCTAACGATGATGCTCGGCCCACTGTACAATTTTCTATTTGTTGCTCCGCCCATTTTTGTCACTGGCTCCACCCACCGCTGCCATGGGACCCCCGGGAAAGAATGAGGTGGGAAAGGTTCTTCAGCTAGAAGATCAGAACGGATCCCAACCGCCTTCCTTCTGGCCCTGCAATAAACCACACGGCCCTCTGGGCTCTGCACCCACCTCACGAAAACCAGCGCGCCCGCTCACAGGAGGGAGGGAGCGTTCACACACACCGCCGACGGGGAAGAGACCCTGGATCTACTTCAGGGCAGCGCCATTTGGCAAGCCCTGAAGAGGTTCTGTTTGGAAGCGCAGGGAGAAGACTTGGGGACCCTCTCTAACATCTTGCCCAACAGGCACTGCGACCGTCGCTGCTCAAAAACCCTCCCTGGCCCTCAATAAATATCCCGCAAGATCCATGCTGTGGAAAAAGCATTCAGCGATTTCCATCTCAGGAGATCTGCCTGTTTTCCTAAGCAAACGGCGAGGCAACGGCGGACGCGTTGGGACGTGCAAGATTTCGCCTGGAGGGAGGAAGGAAAGAAAAGAAAGATTTTGCGCCAAAGTCAGAAACAAGAGCTCAAAGAAAACCGTCTTGTTATCTCAGCAGGGAAAATATAGCTTCTTCCTAGCGGGGCAAAAACCCAGGAGACCGCTTCTGGTGGGGGCAGAAGTTGGGAACGTCCGATTCTCCCGTCATGGCTGCTCTACAACCAAATAAACCTCTTCTCCCTCGTCCCCCCAAAGTCCTCTGGAAAGGGTCTTTCCAAAATCCTAAAAATCCGAATCGAGGTCCAGCAATTCCGCATCCATGAGGTTTGTCCGGGAGTGCATGGGGGCTGGCAGCTCCCCTCGCCGCCCCTGGGCCTGCGGAGCCCTGCGCGGGGTGCCACTCAGAAAGCCAGGCCCCGGGGCCACGCTCCGGGGTGGTGGCTGGGGGAAGCTGCCGCGAGGCAGAGGCTGCCGGCGTCCCGGGAAGAACCAGGCACCGCTTCCGGGTCCTGCCTCCTCCACGGGGCCGTTATCCGGGCAGAAGGGGTGGCTGACGGGAGGCAGGGCGGCGCTGTTCCGCCGGCAGCCGAGGGCCAACGGGTGCTCTGGGGGCGGCCCCCTGGAAAAAGGGTCCTCCTGGGGCAGGGCCGCGGGGCGCCAGGCCGGGTAGGCCCTGGGCGCAAGGACGTCGTTCAGGGCCTGAGCCTCCCTGGCGCTGGCGACAAAGCACTTGGTCTTGGGGAGCTGGGGGAGGCGAGGGACGGAGCTGAGGCGCTGTGGGGCGAAGGGGTCCAGGTCGTAGGCGGGCCCCATGGGGCAGACCTCCTTCTTCTTCCGCCGCTTTTTCTTCTTGCGGCTCAGCTTCTTCTCCCGCCGGGGGGACAGCTCGGTCTCCACCAGCCACAAGTTGGCTCGCTCCTCGGGGGGCACTGTGTGGGTGGGGAAAGGAAGGGCAGAGGCGATGGTTAGGGGGTGTATAGGACCTCCATCAGAAGCCCCCCACCCCAGCGCACACACCTCAAAACCCCAAATCGCTGCTTGCTTCAAGATGGCTGATTCGTTTCACGGCACTTCCAGTCCGAACCAAACATTTGAAGCGCTGTGGAGGCACATGAAACCATCATGGCTTCCCCCTGCAAAGGATTCTGGGAGCTGGGGGTTCCCTAAGGGTGCTGGAAGTTATGAGGAGACTCCCCGCCCCACCGTTCTCCTTAAAGGTAAAAAGGGTAAAGGGACCCCTGACCATTAGGTCCAGTCGTGGCCGACTCTGGGGTTGCGGCGCTCATCTCGCTTTATTGGCCGAGGGAGCCGGCGTACAGCTTCCGGGTCATGTGGCCAGCAGGACTAAGCCGCTTCTGGCAAACCAGAGCAGCGCATGGAAACGCCGTTGACCTTCCCGCCAGAGCGGTACCTATTTATCTACTTGCACTGGTGTGCTTTGGAACTGCTAGGTTGGCAGGAGCAGGGACCGAGCAACGGGAGCTCACCCCTTCACGGGGATTCTGATCAGCAAGTCCTAGGCTCTGTGGTTTAACCCACAGCGCCACCTGCGTCCCTACCTTCGGAGCTACAATTCCCGGAGAAGAAGAGGGATTGATTATTGAACAACTCTGGGAATCAAAGGGAAGGCTACATTCAAAGCATACATTTCAAGGGTTGGGATACTGCTTGAAACTGTCATGGCTTCACCCCCAAAGGATTCTGGGAGCTGGGTTAAGGGCCCTGAGAGTTGTAAGTTCCCCTCACTGAACTACAATTCCCAGAGCTCCCTGTGAAGAAGAGGGATTGGTTGTGAAACCACTCAAAAATAACAGTTTAGGGGAAACATCAGCGTAATGCCATAAACTGCCATCTGAAACGAAGCCATAGACACCCAGTATTATTATTATTATTGTAATGCTGTTATCGCTGTTTCCCTTGCTTTGTGTATACGCCGAACAGAATATTATTGGAAGAAAGAACAAAATAAGCAGAATTACCTGGCGTTGCTACCGGAGTGACGGAGACATCTTGAGACAAAATGGCTCCCCTCCTGGCTACCATCTTGGTCACATGCTGGGCCCAGGCAGAGGACACATCTCCCGACGGCTCATTGATATCGAAAACCAAACCAGCTGGGAAAAGAAAATTATAACGATGTATACAAATAAAAGGGAGAAGGGGAGAATATTTCAAACAATGAGTTTTTCAAAGCCTGAATCCCCTCAGAATTATCTCAGCTTGGCCAACGTTTGCCCACTGTGGTGGGACGGCTGGGTTGCATTCCATTATGATATTTCTTCTAATCTGTGTTTGAACTGTTAATACATACTGTGGTGAACCACACTGGGCACAATTTTGTGGGAGAATGATAAAAATAAATGGCATTAAAAAAGCAAAAAAGCAAGGAAATAGTCATGTTGAAGGTCAGGAACATTCAGGGGTGTCAGGAATTGTAACCCAGCTCAAACAATTCTGTATGCAATTATGCAGAATTTCCCCACGACAAAACGTAAAAATAAGACATTTATATTCCATCAAGCGTTCATTTCTTTAAATATGACATAACTTAAATGTATGCAGTACCCCCAGAGACGGAAAGAAGATAAAACTCTCGACAAGAGATGAATGGTTGATGAAGATGTTTTTAATGTATTTTTAATCTTTTGTTGGAAGCTGCCCAGAGTGGCTGGGGAAACCCAGCCAGATGGGCGGGATAGAATTATTATTATTATTATTATTATTATTATTATTATTATTATTAACTACACCAAAATGGCGAAAATGACTGGGAAAATCAGAAACTAGGAAGATAGAAACTTTAACAAGGAATGAGGAAAAATTACAATTTACTTAAGAGAACACTGTAAACAGCTAAAAACTTTTGGCAGGATTTGAGTAACGCTTGTAATGTCTTAAAAACTAGGGTAAAAATGGACTATCTTAAGAAAAATAGAGAAAAAATATGATGCAACAGAAAAAGTTTGATAATGGAAACCATGGAGGGGTAGAGGGAGTCTAAGGATTCAGGGAATCCTAAATGTTGATGATGATGATTAATGTGTGAATTCAAATGTATAATGTAAAACTGAATAAAAATTATTTAAAATAAAATAAATGTATGCAATACCAACATCATGTTCAAGTGATGCTGCAATACCAACATCATGTTCAAGTGAACGGGTCCCGTTCGCAACCAGAGGTACCACTGTATAGCATATATTCAACACAAAAAACAGCGACCATTTTTTGTTGACAAAGGACAGCTGGACATATCAAGGGCCCCATAACCTTCAGAAGCTGAGGGCCACATCAAACCGAAATCCGGCCCTGGCCCGGCTGTGGGAGGCTGCCCTCCATCGGACAGGCGTGGAGCCCCAAAGCACCCCCTTCCCTGTGGGCATACGTACCAACCGGCCCCTCGTGCGAGACAGTCCGCAAGCTGAAGGAGAGCTCTTGGTTGGGGTTGTGCTGAAGCTCTTTGCGCCGGGAAAAGGCCTTGGCAATCATCTTGCTCTTCTTCAGCCTCTTGGGCTCGTCGTTGCTCTGGCCAGTCAGCCTGCGGGGAGCGGGGGGATTTATTTTATTTATTTGATGCAATTTAAACGCTGCTTGATCAGGGGGGGAAACATACCAAAAAACCCTCAAAGCATTTTACCGAGAGAGAGAGAGAGGAATAAAATCACCCCTAAGAAAAAGTACCAGCGATAATCTAAAACATTCAAAAGTTAAAAACTGGAAAAATAATAACACAGGCTCCCTTTAATGATTGGATTGAAAATATGTGCAAATTTGCTGCACACTAACAAGTTGTGTACAAATGTAGACTTGCCATGGTGAAATTGAACAAAATTTGTAATTCTTTTTTATAGATACTATATGAGATTAAGTCCTGGTTAACAACAACAACAACAATAATAATTTTATTTATATCCCGCCCTCCCCAGCCGAAGCAGGGCTCAGAGAGGCTAACAACAGTAAAATAATACAGCATTCTAAAATCAGTTCAAATCAAATATCAAGTCGTCGCCCCCCTTTTTTGTAACGTACACAGTCTCTCTTTTTTTGTTTCGTTTTCTACATGCGTACTATTTCTTGTTTCTTAGTTTTTGTGCACTTGTATTTTTCGTACTTTTCATTTTTCAATAAAGAATTTAAAATTTAAAAAACCAGACTTTAAAAAAAAAAGATTGAAATGCAACTCAAATTTCTAAACTGCTGGGCAGGTAATTTTTGTCTAAACCAGCCTTTCTCAACCTGTGGGTCCCCAGATGTTGTTGGACTACAACTCCCATCACCCCTAGCTAGCAAGGCCAGAGCTCAGGGATGATGGGAGTTGTAGTCCAACAACACCTGGGGACCCACAGGTTGAGAACCACAAAAATGGTTTCAGCAGATACCGAAAAGAGTGCCAATCGTTCCAAAGTTTAGCTGCTGACACACTAAAAGATCGAGTTCTTACAAATGGTATTATGTAACGGTCAGGATTGTCGGGTCGGCCGGAAGTCCCGTGCAGAGCAGTTGTGGCTCTGGAAGTCACAGGATGGGCTCAAAATTAAAACCCAGGCTTCTTCCAAGGCTGGGTGGGCCCAGCTCTTACCTGCCCCAGGTGCGCTTCCAGATGAGGAGGGTAGCTTTGGTCCACACCCAGGTGCTCATGGAAATCCCCGTCCCAAACATGGCAAAGAGATTGATCTTCTCCACCAACAGGCTGGGGCGGTTCTTGATCTCGCAGTCAGGGATGGGTTTGTTGGTCTGTGTGGCAATTGTCACGTTGGCCTCACACCTGCGGGGGCAAGGTAAAGGTAAAGGGACCCCTGACCGTTAGGTCCAGTTGCAGACTCTGGGGTTGCGGCGCTCGTCTCGCTTTATTGGCCGAGGGAGCCGGCGTACAGCTTCCGGGTCATGTGGCCAGCATGACTAAGCCGCTTCTGGCGAACCAGAGCAGCGCACGGAAACGCCATTTACCTTCCCGCCGGAGTGGTACCTATTGATCTACTTGCACTTTGACGTGCTTTCGAACTGCTAGGTGGGCAGGAGCAGGGACCGAGCAACGGGAGCTCACCCCGTCGTGAGGATTCGAACCGCCGACCTTCTGATCGGCAAGTCCTAGGCTCTGTGGTTTAACCCACAGCGCCACCCGCATCCTTGGGGGCAAGAGCGGAGATTAAACTTGCTGGGTGGGGCAGAACGTTACAGTCATACCTTGGGTTTTCGAACAGAATGCTTTCCAGGGGACCATTTGACTCCTGGAACCATTCGAAAACCAAGACGCGGCTTCCGATTGGCTGCAGGAGCGTCCTGCAGCCAATCAGAAGCCGCGCCAGCATCCGAAAATTGTTCAAAAACCGGAACAGTCACTTCCGGGTTTCGATCGTTCAGGAGTCAATTTGTTCGGGGGTCATGGCGTTTGGGATCCAAGCTATTACGATTCTTATGATTATCATTAATTTGTTTGTTGCCCTCCCTTTCCCCTAAGGTCCCAGAGAGGGTTTACCGCATTAAAAGCCGCATTAAAAACCGTTGAAAACAATAGACAATGATAAAAATAAGGCGGTTGTAAAACACACACCTCAAATGTTAAAAGCAGAGGGGGAAGGAACCTCAGACCTCCAAACAGCGATCTTGAATTTCACAAGGTCTCAGGAGATTGCGGCTGCAAAGTTAAGGTTGCAATCCTAACCACACAGACCTGGGAGTAAGCACTACTTGGATTCAATAGGATTTACTTCTGAGTAGACATGGTAAGGCTCACCCCCTTAGAAGACATATTTTCTCTTGTGCGAGTGGAGTTGGAATTCTGGGATTATGTCTGAATCCTATTAGACAAGGGTGGGGAACCTGTGACACTCCAAATGGTGAACTACAACTCCCTATAGTCAAGGATGATGGGAGTTGTAGTACAACAGCGCCCGGACGGGCACAGATTCCCCATCCTTCCAATAAAAACAATTGAGAGTTTGTCTTTTTCTTTTAGAACTATTTCCCCCCACCCTTTCAAATTCAATTCATTGTTTAACCAACACATCGGCTAAAACTCATACGATCCAACAGAGATTTCTTTAAATCTGCAGGGATTATCGGTTTGGGTAGAAACCACTCATATTACAGCCGATTGCAGTGCTAGTGCTTAAATAACCTTCCACTGAAACAACCTGAAAAAATCCTCAGCATGAAATGCGACTCTATGTCCCTCCGGGAAGTTTTAAACTTTCGGTGCGTGCATGTTGGTGACAAAACTATGAGAATAAAACCAAACAGTGCCAGTTGAAAGATACTAGGGTATCAAAAAGTACTACTCATAGCCTGAAAATAAAGTGTCCTTTACCCTGACGCTGTTGTATTTTGGGTGCTTTCTTCCAGACCAGCCTTTCTCAACCTGTGGGTCCCCAGATGTTGTTGGACTACAACTCCCATCACCCCTAGCTAGCAAGGCCAGAGCTCAGGGATGATGGGAGTTGTAGTCCAACAACATCTGGGGACCCACAGGTTGAGAACCGCTGTTCCAGACAAAGATTTGTGTGTAAGAAACTGAGTTTCACTGCAAGGGTTGTTATTGTTTTGGTTTAAATATTGACTTGTGTTTTAGCCTGTGTATTTTATTCTGTGAACTGCCCTGAGATCTTTCGACGAAGGGCGGTATATAAATTTAATAAATAATAAAAAATATATACTGTGATTCTGGATGTCCTGGTGTCCAATACAAACTGGGCGTTTCGGTGGACGTGGGTTTTGATTTCAAAGGCTTGGTGTTGGCACACGAAATCTGCCAGGGGTCTTCAGGGCCCCCTTAAATCCCTTATACATCCCTCCGCTCCAATACTCCCAGTGCTCGGCGGCTGGGAGCGTGAGGCGCCATCTTGATTTCCCACAATGCCCCTGGAGTGTTGCTCCATCCCAGCCTTTGCCACCCAGGTGCCTCAGTTCTTGAGCTACGCAGCATGGCGCCCGAAGGGCACCAGGTCCGCCTCTAAGAGACCACCCACAAAAAGAGCCACCCATGAAGACAGCCTGTGCCCCCCCCGCCTAGATCAAGAGGGGAACGTGGATATTGTGATAGGAATTTTGAGGTCTTAGATATATGGTATTGTTCATAACCGCATGTACATAGATCAGCACAGGAAGACCGACCTGAAGCCATTTTGATTCCTAAACTGAGCAAATGTTTTCTCTGCAAGGTCAAAATGGAAAAGCCTCCCCATTGTCTTTCCCTTCACAAATCCTGTCTTAAGGGTATGTCTGTGTTTCAATAGGGTGTGAGCCTGTGACTTGGCCCAGGAACTAAGTATTTATCATTACAAAAGACTAGCCAGGCTCCCCAGGAAATCCAATCAAGTGACCATTAAACAGGTAACCTGGCAGACAGGAGATAAACAACGACAGGAGAAAAAACAACATTCAAAATTTCTGTTTTAGACCGCCTTTTCTGTGATGTATGTATGATGTTTCTGGGGGTGGTCATGATCTACAGGGTAGCAATTTCAAAAGTCTTTACAGTGGTACCTCGCAAGACGAATGCCTCGCAAGACAAAAAACTCGCTAGACGAAAGGGTTTTTTGTTTTTTGAGCTGCTTCGCAAGACGATTTCCCCTATGGGCTTGCTTCGCAAGACGGAAACGTCTTGCAAGTTTGTTTCCTTTTTCTTAACACCGTTAATACAGTTGCGACTTGACTTCGAGGAGCAACTCATAGAACGCGGTGTGGTAGCCTTTTTTGAGGTTTTTAAAGACTTTGGTGATTTTTGAAGCTTTTCCAAAACTTTCCCGACACCGTGCTTCGCAAGACGAAAAAAATCGCAAGACAACAAAACTCGCGGAACGAATTAATTTCGTCTTGCGAGGCACCACTGTATAAGGCCTTGCACGCCATTGTTCTGGGTTCTCCTTCTTTCCTGCATGTGAGGTGAGCACCCTGTTGCAACAGATTAATAAAGATCAGGCTTACTAGCTGCTTTGCTTCTCAATATTATCTGGTTGGCCTCTGTTATTCTCTCCTACCAATAGGGAACCCACACAAGGACTCTATATGGGCTCTTGGATACCCCATAAGGGAAAAGGGCAGATTTTTGTTTACAACAGTGGGCACCCGCTACTCACAAGACGTACTCCCGGAAGCTCCTCTCCCACTCCGCCTGGTTGAAGAAATCGTAGAAGTGGCACCCGAAGGTGATGAAGACGAAGCCGAACGCCAGGAAGCCAAAGATTCCTGCCATGGAGGGAGAAAGAACTTGAGTCCGTCACACGTCCAGCTACTTCCAGGGCATGGAGAGGGGCAGATATCCAGAGCGTGGGGGTCAGGTGGGATTGCTATGAGGAATTATGAAATATGGAGCAAGCCATTGGGTCCGCTACGAAAGCTTTGCGTTGACTGGGTTCGATTCATTGACAATAGTTTCTGATCGAATCCCACAGGCCTCTGCATCTCTGCCATTTGCTTTCTAACAGATTGGCGGCTAACAGATTGAGGTTGAATCCTGACAAGACAGAAGTACTATTTTTGGGGGACAGGGGGCGGGCGGGTCTGGGGGATTCCCTGGTCCTGAATGGGGCAACTGTGTCCCTGAAGGATCAGTTGCGCAGCCTGGGAGTCATTTTGTAATAAATATTTTTTATTGCGTTTCTTTCCATAGGTTCACAAGTTCAAAAGCATACAAGAGTAAAAAACAAGAAACAAATTATAAAGATAAAAGAAAATAAAAAAGAATGGATATGTGTCAAATCATCTTTCCATAATTTATCACTGTCAGTTGGACCTCCTCACATCTTCCAAGCCTTGCGTTCTTTGCAATAACAGTGTCAGCAATTTGTTACCTTATTTCGCAACACAGCCTGGGAGTCATTTTGGACTCACAGCTGTCCATGGAGGCGCAGGTCAGTTCTGTGTCCAGGGCAGCTCCATCTGGTACACAGGATGAGATCCTACCTGCCCATGGACTGTCTTGCCAGAGTGGTGCATGCTCTGGTTATCTCTCACTTGGAATACTGCCGTGCGCTCTACATGGGGCTACCTTTGAAGGTGACGCGGAAACTGCAATTAATCCAGAATGCGGCAGCTAGACTGGTGACTGTGAGTGGCCACCGGGACCACATAACACCGGTCTTGAAAGACCTACATTGGCTCCCAGTACGTTTCCGAGCACAATTCAAAGTGTTGGTGCTGACCTTTAAAGCCCTAAACAGCCTCGGTCCAGTATACCTGAAGGAGCGTCTCCACCCCCATCGTTCTGCCCCGACACTGAGGTCCAGCACTGAGGGCCTTCTGGCGGTTCCCTCCCTGCGAGAAGTGAGGTTACAGGGAACTAGACAGAGGGCCTTCTCGGTGGTGGCACCTGCCCTGTGGAACGCCCTCCCTTCAGATGTGAAGGAAATAAGCAGCTATCTTATCTATAAAAGTTATCTGAAGGTAGCCCTGTTTAGGGAAGCTTTTAATATTTAATGCTGTATTGTTTTTAACACTCGATTGGGAGCCGCCCAGAGTGGCTGGGGAAACTCCTTTTTCTCTGCAGGAACTGCCCCCCACCACCTACAGATCCTGCCATGCAAGTCCGGCCTACTCACCAAGGCGCAACATCGTCTCATTGATCTTACTGGCGGCTTTTTCGCTCAGGAGACCTGGGTGGTTGCTTTTGATGGAGAACAAGGTCATCACACCTAGGAGGGAACCGGCAGAAGAGGTGCCATTAACAGCCAGGAGGACCAAGAAATGGGATTTATTTTCCCCCGCCACAGAACAAGAACAAGTCTTGCACCAATCCCCTCGGGTTTTAAATAAACAAAATCACTGCAATTTGAACACCTGCGGAACTTGCTATGTTGCAGGTACCATATAATACCAGTTCCATTTCGGTTAAGAAATGCAGCTTTTATTGTGGCAGCACCTGGAGGCGTTTGGAGGATGGATGGCGGCTAACAGATTGAGGCTGAATCCTGACAAGACAGAAGTACTGTTTTGGGGGGACAGGAGGGGGGCGGGTGTGGAGGACTCCCTGGTCCTGAATGGGGTAACTGTGCCCCTGAAGGACCAGGTGCGCAGCCTGGGAGTCACTTTGGACTCACAGCTGTCCATGGAGGGGCAGGTCAATTCTGTGTCCAGTGCGGCTGTCTACCAGCTCCATCTGGCATGCAGGATGAGACCCTACCTGCCTACAGACTGTCTCGCCAGAGTGGTGCATGCTCTGGTTATCTCCCGCTTGGACTACTGCAATGTGCTCTATGTGGGGCTACCTTTGAAGGTGACCCGGAAACTACAACTAATCCAGAATGCAGCTGCTAGACTGGTGACCGGGAGTGGCCGCCGGGACCACATAACCCCGGTCCTGAAAGACCTACATTGGCTCCCAATACGTTTCCGAGCACAATTCAAAGTGTTGGTGCTGACCTTTAAAGCCCTAAACGGCCTTGGTCCTGTAGACCTGAAGGAGCGTCTCCACCCCCATAACTGAGCCCGGACGCTGAGGTCCAGCTCCGAGGGCCTTCTGGCGGTTCCCTCCCTGCGAGAAGGCAAGCTACAGGGAACCAGACAGAGGGCCTTCTTTTTTTAAAAAAATTTTTTTATTGATTTTACAATTTTTTATACACAATACAAACAAATAAAAAGACAAACAAACATGTATAATTTCATAACCTTTTTTTTCATAAACCTTACTTCTCGGACTCCCCCAAACCTCCCCTTTCTGCATCCAAAATTTAAAAATTATTTCAGCAAATCCTAACTTTAGACTTCTCAAATATATTCCTTCATTATTCTTTTCTTTAACTTAATCTTTTATCGCTGTAATCTCCTTATCTTTCTGAAGAACCTCAACATTTTAACATTCATCAATTTTATAATATTTCTTAAGATAGGTTTTAAATTTCTTCCATTCTTCTTCCGCCGTCTCTTTCCCCTGATCACGGATTCTGCCAGTCATTTCGGCCAATGACATATAGTTCATCACCTTCATCTGCCATTCTTCCAGAGTGGGTAAATCTTGTGTCTTCCAATACTTTGCAATAAGAATTCTTGCTGCTGTTGTGGCATACAGAAAGAATGTCCTATCTTTCTTTGACACCAATTGGCAGGCAATGCCCAAGAGAAAGGCCTCTGGTTTCTTAGGGAAGGTACATTTAAGTACCTTTTTCATCTCATTATATATCATTTCCCAGAAAGCCTTAATCTTCGGGCACGTCCACCAAAGGTGATAAAAGGTACCTTCAGTTTCTTTACATTTCCAACACTTATTATCAGGCAAATGGTAAATTTTTGCCAGCTTGACTGGGGTCATGTACCACCTGTAAATCATTTTCATAATATTTTCCTTTAAGGCATTACATGCCGTAAATTTTATACCGGTGTTCCACAACCATTCCCAGTCAGCAAACATAATATTGTGTCCAATGTCCTGTGCCCACTTAATCATAGCTGATTTAACTGTTTCATCTTGTGTATCCCATTTCAGCAGCAAATTATACATTCGTGACAAATTCTTAGTATTGGGTTCTAACAGTTCAGTTTCTAACTTTGATTTCTCCACCTGGAAGCCAATTTTCCTGTCTTGTTTGTAAACCTCCATTATTTGATAATAATGGAGCCAATCTCGTACTTTAGGTTTTAATTTCTCATGACTCTGTAACTTCAGCTTATCGACAGAGGGCCTTCTCGGTAGTGGCACCCGCCCTGTGAAACGCCCTCCCAGCAGATGTCAAGGGAATAAACAACCATCTGACTTTTAGAAGACAACTGAAGGCAGTCCTTTTTAGGAAAGCTTTTAACATTTGATGAGTTATTGTATTTTAATATTTTGCTGGAAGCTGCCCAGAGTGGCTGGGGAAACCCAGTCTGATGGGCGGGGTATAAATAATAAACTGTTGCTGTTGCTGTTATCACTGTGAAGCTCCTGCTCTGCTGAAGAAAACCTATTCCAGAACAGCAGAGTTACACTTTGGAAACCAAACTCCCACTGTGTGAGCTCCCATTGCTGTTGTCCAACAACAGCTAGAGACCCGATTCTGAGAGACACTGCTCTAGGCAGAGAGAACAAACAGAGGAGCCCACCTCTGATCAGGAAATAGCCACCGATGATCAGCACTAGGCCGATGGGGGCCAGGACAAAACCGGCTCGGTAGCGGTAGTTCTTGTAGCCCACAAAGCAAATGCCGCTCACAGAGTCCCCGTCAACCTGGAGAAGCAAGACGGAGGGAGAGATAGGGAAAGAAGACAGAAAACTTTTTAAGAAACTGGAAGCAAGTACAGTCATACCTCGGGATGAACACACTTCGGGTTAGGCAAATTCGGGTTGCGCTCTGCGGCGACCCGGAAGTAACGAAGAAGAAGAAGAAGAGTTTGGATTTGATATCCCGCCTTTCACTCCCTTTAAGGAGTCTCAAAGCGGCTAACATTCTCCTTTCCCTTCCTCCCCCACAACAAACACTCTGTGAGGTGAGTGGGGCTGAGAGACTTCAGAGAAGTGTGACTGGCCCAAGGTCACCCAGCAGCTGCATGTGGAGGAGCGGAGACGCAAACCCGGTTCCCCAGATTAGGAGTCTACCACTCTTAACCACTACACCACACTAACGGAGCGTGTTACTTCTGGGTTTCGCTGCACGCGCATGTGCAGACCATCAAAATAACGTCATGCGCAGAAGCGTCGCAACACGACACGCACAGACGTGCGGACATGGGTTACATTCGCTTTGGGATGCGAACGGGGCTCCGAAACAGTGGTACCTCAGGTTACATACACTTCAGGTTACATACGCTTTAGGTTACAGACGTCGTCCCTCGTTGGAACAGCTTTTTAGCTAGAGATGCTCTGTTGGCTTTCAGCAAACAGAGGACAAAGGGACTATTCCCATATAGGATAAATTCCACATGTATATACTCTGTAGCTAAGTCTGCCTTCAGTGATCCATCTGACAACTGAATGTGTGAATAAACTTCTTTTATATATACAGTGGACGCTCGGGTTCTGAATGTGATCTGTGCGGGAGGCATGTTCGCAACCCGCTGCCTTCGCAACCTGCAATGCTGCATCTGCACAAGTGCAGGTTGCAATTCAGCACTTCTGTGCATGCACAAAGCGCGATTTAGCGCTTCTGCTCATGCACAGAAACCCGGAAGTAAACCATTCCGGTACTTCCGGGTTCGGCGCAGTGCGCAACCCAAAATTGCACAACCCAAAGCGTCTGTAACCTGAGGTATGACTGTAATCTCATATGGGATAGATTCTACATGTATATAGTCTGTAACTAAGTCTGCCTTCAGGAATCCATCTGTGAACTGAATGTGTGAGTAAACCTCTTTTCTATATAATGTACACAAGATTGTGTCGTGTCTATTCTTTTTAAGAGGGATATAAGGGAAATCACCAGGAATCAAATATTGAGAAGCTTAAACAAGCTTGCAACAAGCTAAGCGCTGTGCGTTTAAAAGGGGAATGTTAAAACGCTGCTAAGTTATAGAACTTGCTATTACAAGTTAGGAAGGATATTAATAAACAATATATCCTCTCCTGCCTCCCTGAACATTCCCACATGAACAACTTAGGGAGTTCTGGGGTCGCCTGAACCACCATATCCCAGCTCAGTTGCCAAGATAATTTGCAGGAATGTCGCTGGAACATTCTCCAAGCTGTCGAGGCTCATTTGACAACAACGTAGGAACTTAAGAAACACCTGTTAGATGAGGCCAAGGGTCCATACTGTTGGGAAACTGTGTAGTGCAGCTACTCACACAGAGTCAATTAAGGTTTGGCAGACAGCCAGAAGGCAATCTGAAGGAGTAAGTCTGCCTGGTGATAACAGAGGCATGGAGACAGCTCCCTGATTGGTCAAGCTCTCTCAAGGAAGTGATAATTAATGGCCTACTAAGAGGAATGTGTTAGTTCAGAGCTCAGTGTTCAGAGTTCTGTGTGTCGGTGTAGGAGTTGTGAGTCGTGTCAGAGAGAGCTAGCTAAAGATCCGTGTCCTGTTCCTGTAAATAGTCCACTGTATATAATAAACACCCAACTACAAGTTCCTGGTTCCTGCTTCGTCCATCCTGTCTGCAGCCAAGTCGCCAATTGCTTCCGTGGATTCTGCGCTTACTCTGCTAGGCCTGGCTAAGGTCCTGCAACTAGTCGGAAAGTTGCAAAACACCAAATCTCTCCCTCTCCTCCTGCAGTTTCCAGCCAATGACAATTATAAAGCACTGCTGCGTCCAACACAATCACTTTCCCGGGATGAGAAGGACAACACTTTCCCTGGGGAAAATCCAAGCCACCCAGCACACCTGCGCAAAAAGGCCATTTTTGAGGGGGGGGATTCTGTGGCTTTTGTTGCCATATTCTCCATAAAAAATGGAATTTAGCAACTAAGCGCACTCTAATGATCTCAAATCAAAGCTTACCTCGTGCCCTATCATGCATTGAATTTTGGAGGAGGGGGGCATTTCTAAGAACTTTGATCAGCAGGCTTTTTAATGGGGAAGCCAAATACCGTATTTTTTGCTCTATAAGACTCACTTTTTCCCTCCTAAGGGGAAATGTGTGCGCGTCTTATGGAGCGAATGCAGGCTGCGCAGCTATCCCAGAAGCCAGAAGAGCAAGAGGAATCGCTGCTTTCACTGCGCAGCGATCCCTCTTGCTGTTCTGGCTTCTGAGATTCAGAATATTTTTTTCTTGTTTTCCTCCTCCAAAAACTAGGTGCGTCTTGTGGTCTGGTGCGTCTAATAGGGTGAAAAATACGGTAGATCATTGCCAGAAACAAAAACCTTTGATAATTCCAAGCAGCCTGATTGGAACAAACGTGAGCTATATTCTCTGCATGCTCTTTCAACAGAGATGAAGTTTGTTTCAATCTTTTTCTACTAGCCCAGGGGTCTGCAACCTTTAAGACAAAAAGAGCCACTTGGACCCGTTTCCGAAGAAAAAAAACAACTGGGAGCCGCAATACTCATCATTATTAAAATAACTTTTTTGTCACTTTTTAAAAATTATTTCTTTGTTTCACCCCTCAGAATTACTCCTCCTCATAGAAATAAACGTTAAATTAACAAGTTACCTTTTTTGTGTGTGTGTTCTTTACTCCCCTTCAAAACAGTGACCAGCGTACATGCCCCCTTTCAATGCAGTGACCAGCGTACATGCCCCTTACAATGTGGCGGGCGGGCGGGAAGGTGACGTCGGGACGGTGCGTGACTAACGCACGCACCACCCCCATGCGACGTCACAGCCAGTACAGCACCCGCCACAGTGGGGAGTGTCGGGGCGCACAGTGCGCCTCCTCCCCTCGCTAGTATCTGCCCCGGAGCCACGGCAAAGGTGTAAAAGAGCCACATGCGGCTCCGGAGCCGCTGGTTGCAGACCCCTGTACTAGCCTAACGTCTTATCACTTAAAATTATGGCTGCCTTCTTATGTAGAAAAGCGATTACCGGTAAATCATCAGTGAATGTCTTCAGCATAACTACTCTGACCTTGGTGGATTTAAAGTGACTTTCCCAAACTGTCACCGGTTGCATTTTTGTTCTAAAAATATGAAGAGCACACGGCAGAAAGTGGTGAAATAACGTGGTCCGTTCTGTCAGGCACTGAACATTCAAGGCAAAATTTCATGCAACTTTCAAAAGAATCCGGATTTACTATGTAAACCACTTTGAGTTCCCGTTAGGGGGAAAAGGTGGGATACCAAAATTATAAATAAATAAATTAATTAAAAGTAAATTTACCTGGGCAACCGCCAAAATGGCGACGGTGAGGACGAAGGGAATGGACCAGGTGACCAAGTGGAAGTAGGAGGTTTTCCCCACCAGCGGCTGGTAGGTGGTCCCCAGCGCCTTGAAGGATGTGTGCCAGGCATAGGTGAGCATGACGAACCAGATTACGCCCGACATCAAGGAATAGTAGACGATGACGAAGATAATCACGCAGGAGAGGGTCTCGTTGGAGCTGCGGGTAGAGGAAAGGGCATTTTCTTAAGAAAATGATTAAATAGATACTGTAAAATTAATGAATGTTAGAATGATGTTGGGTTGAAATTAAGTGGTTTCTAGCTAATGGTATAAAAGAATATGAAAAATGGTTTTTTATAAGTAAAAATTTAATGTTATAATAATTTAAGATTAAAGATCTGGGTAGAATAAAGAGGGAAAGAAACTGCTGAGCTAATAAATTGAACTGGAATACAAAAAAGGGAGGTATGAGGAGGTCCGGGAAACAAGTAAATGAAAAATAATGTGATGAAAGGATTGATTGTTTTTAACTATTTTTGTTTTGTATTTTGTATTTTTTCTTTTTCTATTTTGTAATGTAAAAACTCTAATAAAAATTTTATTTAAAAAAAAAAGAAAATGATTAAATATTCTTTTCCCGCAAAGCCTGAAGCCTTCCTGCTAGGAATTATGGGTAATGAAATTCCCAAAAAAGTCCAGGAGAGTTTTTATGTACGCCACAGGTGCCGCTGGAATTTTAATTGCAAAATTTTGGAAGGAAGAGGATACCCAAATCGGACTGGCAAAATAAATTAAGAGAGTACGCTGAACTGGCAAGACTCTCAGCAAGGCTATGAGATGTTACAGGTGAGAAATTGATCGGAGAATAGAACATATACAGAGCCTGCGTAAAAGAACATTGTCAAAATATTAATCCATTGGCAGATTTCAATTGAACTTCTGTGCGCAAACCGGATCGTTTTACAAAATTTAAAGTAAGTTAAACGACAGGGAGAAAATAAAGTTAAGCGCGTATTCAAGGGATTTATTTTGAGAACAGAATGGTGTACAAAGCAAGTTTCAAGTAAGGAAGTACCGTTCGCTCCATAAGACGCACTTTTGTCCTCCTAAAAAGTAAGGGGAAATGTCTGTGCGTCTTACGGAGCGAATGTGTGGTCCCTGGAGCCGAATTGCCCAAGGGCAAAAAGCAGATTGTGCTTTTTTTTAAGAAAGAGGGAAGGGGGTGTTGAAAGGAAGCCGCTGATTGTTTGCCAATCGGGGAGAGAGATGAGGGACGCTAGAGATAAAGGAGGCTGCCTGGGAGGGGGGAGGTAAAGACAGCCAACTTGCAAGGAGAGGAGACAGGAAGACTAAAGCAATGAGGAGAGAAATTAGAAGAAAAGGAGGAGCAAAAAACTGCTCCTGTTAAGGAAAAGATGCTAAGGCAAACAAGAGGGAAGGGGGTGTTAAAGGAAACAGCTGATTGACAAGCGATCAGGAGGGAGATAAGGGACGCTAGAGATAAAGGAGGCTGCCTGGGAGAGGGGAGGTAAAAGCACATGGATCCTCAGGATTTTTGCATTGGGTCACCCCAAATTCACCATCATCAGATCACATAGCCTGTCCATGGCTACAGCCTGCACCAAAAAAACCATGCACCCACTGTTTCGCGGGGCTGCAATGGCCCAAAAGTGTGGTTACAAAGCACGGATCCACATGGATCCTCAGATAATGATTGTTTATTTTTAAACAGGTTGCAGGATTCCCCAAAAAATAGACCAGCCGAGGCAATTATATTTCATCCGGCAGAGCTTTACTTTGCGGCAAATGAGCATAACGGTCACAAATCCAATACATTCTGGATTGGCACTGGACGTAAGAAATCCATAAATAAAAAGTCCAGATGCAGCAGACGTAACTTAACCTTACAATAACTTATAATAAGACTCTAAATAAATTGTCCAGTAGCACCTTAGAGACCAACCAAGTTTGTTCTGGGTATAAGCTTTCGTGTGCATGCAAACTTCTTCAGATACTTACATATGTAATAAGACTAAACCAGTGTTTCCCAACCGGTGTTCCGCGGCACACTAGTGTGCCGCGAGACGTTGCCTGGTGTGCCGCGGGAAAAATTGGCGGGGGGGAATAAAGGGGAAAAAAATTACCGTATTTTTCGCACCATAGGACGCACTTTTTCCCTCCTAAAAAGCAAGGGAAAATGTGTGTGCGTCCTATGGAGCGAATGCAGGCTTTCGCTGAAGCCTGGAGAGTGAGAGGGGTCGGTGCGCACCGACCCCTCTTGCTCTCCAGGCTTCAGGAAGCTATCCGCTAGCCGCGGCTAGCGGAGCGCTGCATTAATCCCGAAGCTTGGGGCGCGCGGAGCTCAGCGCGCCCCAAGCTTCTGGGTGCCGGCAAGGTCTCGCTAGCCCTGGGAGAGCCCCGCGACGTTGCGTGGCTCTCCCAGGGCTAGCGAAGCGCCGCGCTAATCCCGAAGCTTGGGGTGCGCGGAGCTCAGCGCGCCCCAAGCTTCTGGGTGCCGGCAAGGTCTCGCTAGCCCTGGGAGAGTCCCGCGACGTTGCGTGGCTCTCCCAGGGCTAGCGAAGCGCCGCGCTAATCCCGAAGCTTGGGGCGCGCGGAGCTCAGCGCGCCCCAAGCTTCTGGGTGCCGGCAAGGTCTCGCTAGCCCTGGGAGAGTCCCGCGACGTTGCGTGGCTCTCCCAGGGCTAGCGAAGCGCCGCGCTAATCCCGAAGCTTGGGGCTTCGGGATTAGCGCTCCGCTCAGCCTGCTTCCCAGAGCGCCGGGCGCCCTGAAAGCAGAGCTCCAGGCGCTTCGGGAACACATCCGCAGCATGGGGAGCCTTGCAGGAATTCCCCACAGGGCTCCCCACGCTGCGGATAGCAGCCTGCTGCCTGGCGGGTGGAGCGCCCTGAAGCAGAGCGCCCCTCGCGCCAGGCAGACATCCGCAGAGTGGGGAGGCTTGCAGGAGTTCCCGACAAGGCTCCCCACGCTGCGGATAGCAGCCTGCTGCCTGGCGGGTGGGGCGCCCTGAAGCAGAGCGCCCCTCGCGCCAGGCAGACATCCGCAGAGTGGGGAGGCTTGCAGGAGTTCCCGACAAGGCTCCCCACACTGCGGATAGCAGCCTGCTGCCTGGCGGGTGGGGCGCCCTGAAGCAGAGCGCCCCTCGCGCCAGGCAGACATCCGCAGAGTGGGGAGGCTTGCAGGAGTTCCCGACAAGGCTCCCCACGCTGCGGATAGCAGCCTGCTGCCTGGGGGGTGGGGCGCCCTGAAGCAGAGCGCCCTTCGCGCCAGGCAGACATCCGCAGAGTGGGGAGGCTTGCAGGAGTTCCCGACAAGGCTCCCCACGCTGCGGATAGCAGCGTGCTGCCTGGCGGGTGGGGCGCCCTGTAGCAGAGCGCCCCTCCCGCCAGGCATACATCCGCAGAGTGGGGAACCTTGCAGGAGTTCCCCACAGGGCTCCCCACGCTGCGGATAGCAGCCTGCTGCCTGGCGGGTGGGGCGCCCTGTAGCAGAGCGCCCCTCCCGCCAGGCATACATCCGCAGAGTGGGGAACCTTGCAGGAGTTCCCCACAGGGCTCCCCACGCTGCGGATAGCAGCCTGCTGCCTGGCGGGTGGGGCGCCCTGAAGCAGAGCTCCCGCCCGCCGGACAGACATCGGCAAGCCCCACAAGCTTGGGGGACAGCAGGGAGGCACAGCGCCACTATCCCGCTGTTCCTCGACCTGGTTCGGTTTCCCTGACCTGCTTTTGGGGGGGAAATAAAGGGGAAAATTTTTTCCTTTATTTCCCCCCCAAAAAACTAGGTGCGTCCTATGGTCCGGTGCGTCCAATCGTGCGAAAAATACGGTATTCCCCCACCGCCAGGCGTGGGGCTGGGGCGGGGGAAGCCCGAGCTTCCCCCTCCCCCAGAACGGGACCCAGAGCCATGCCGAAGCTGCGCGCAGCTTTGGCATCGCTCTGGGAGCTTGCAGGGCTGGGGGAGGAGGAAGCCCTCCGCCAGCCTCCAAACCATGTCGGGAGACAGCGGGATGGCGCGCTGCGCCTCTCCCGCTGTCCCCCGAGTTTGCAGGGCTGGCGATGGGGAGGAGCAGGCTTCTCCCCCCGCCAGCCTTCTAGCCAAGTCGGGGGACAGCGGGATGGCGCGCTGCGCCTCTCCCGCTGTCCCCCGAGTTTGCGGGGCTGGCGACGGGGAGGAGCAGGCTTCTTCCCCCCGCCAGCCTTCTAGCCAAGTCGGGGGACAACGGGAATGGCGCGCTGCGTTTCTCCGCTGTCCCGGACGGCTTTCAAAAGCCTGCCTTCAAAAGCCGTCCGGGACAGCGGAGAAACGCGCTGCCTTTCTCCGCTCTCCCGGGAAGGCAGGCAGGGGGGAGCAAAGACTTTCGCCCCCGCCCGCCTTCAGAAGAGGTCAAGGACCTTCAAAAGCCATCCGGGACAGCGGAGAAATGCGCTGCCTTTCTCCGCTCTCCCGGGAAGGCAGGCAGGGGGGAGCAAAGACTTTCGCCCCCGCCCACCTTCAGAAGAGGTCCAGGACCTCTTCTGAAGGCGGGCGGGGGGCGAAAATCTTTGTCCCCCCTGCCTGCCTTCCCAGGGGCTTTTAAATCGCCCCGGACAGCGGAGAAGTCCTCCGCTGTCCCAGGGTTTTTTAAAATGCTGGGGGTGGGAAGAAAAGCCCTTGTCCCCCCCCCCAGCCTTCAGAAGAGGTCCAGGGACAGACTGTCCCCGGACCTGGTCTGAAGGCGGTTTCCCTAGGAACGCATTAATTGATTTTCAATGCATTCCTATGGGAAACCGTGCATCGCAAGACGAATAACTCGCAAGACGAAGAGACTTGCGGAACGAATTAATTTCGTCTTGCGAGGCACCACTGTATCCGGAGAGGCGGCCTTCAGGCGAGTTTTAATTTTAATTTTCCTTCTCCCACTTAATGCCCCACGCTCGCCCGAGCAGCTTGCAGTCCTCGGTAACCACGGCGACCCGAGGGAGGGGAGGGAACAGGGAAGTCGAGGGCGGCGGCGAGCCGCGATGACGTCAGTGGGCCGCGCCGCCTCGCCCTGGCACGGTGTGAGACCCCGGCTAGTGGTGCGAGCTTCAGAATAAGTGGGATCCGCGTGCGCGAGACCGAGATCGCGGGTAAGGAGCTCAGCCCTGGGCAGGAGGAAGCGGGGCTGCGCGTGCGGGCCACATCCCCACAGAGAGCGAGCCTCCCCCGGCCCACCACTCCGGGCAGGTCCACTCACATGAGGGGGCGGCGATGGGAGTCACGACCGTGAGGCAGGGCTGCCAAGTGTGGCAGAAGAGGACACGGCCGTCGCACCTGTCCTTAGGTAGGAGCTTCTTCCGTGTCGACCTGCTGCCCTAAAGTCTTGGCTTTTTTCTTGGCTTTTTGGCGGTTGGCACAGAAGGAAGGCAAGGGGGAGGGGGAAAAATTGAAACTTACACTTTCGTGCGTCCCTCCCGGCGTGACGCTGCGCGCTGACGTCACGGGGCTGTAATGGTGGTGTGCCTCGAGATTTTTTTCATGAAACAAGTGTGCCTTTGCCCAAAAAAGGTTGGGAAACACTGGACTAAACCTTAACACTAAGATTACTATATAAGAAGACCACACTAGAAGGAGAATAGAAAGTAAAACCCCAGGTTCCTTCGGACCCTACTTTATAGTCAGCATGACCTAGACAAGGGTTCAGCAACCTTTTTCAGCTGTGGGCCAGTCCACTGTCCCTCAGACATTTGGGGGGGGGCCGGACTATATTTTGGAAAAAATATATGAACGAATTCCTGTGCCCCACAAATAACCCAGAGATGCATTTTAAATAAAAGGACACATTCTACTCATGTAAAAACACGCTGATTCCCGGACCGTCCGCAGGCCAGATTTATAATAAATAATAATAATAATTTTTATTTATACCCCGCCCTTCCCGGTTCAGAAAACCGTGCTCAGGGCGGCTAACGACAAGTTTAAAACACTTAATTGATGCAACAAAAAACAGCTTAAAATACAGTATAAAACGTTGTCAGGGGCTCAGGAGCAGAGGCGCAGGGGAGAGAGGAATGGAGAGCGAAGGGGAAGGAATCTGAGGGCAGCGGAGGGCAGAATGACAGTGACCCGAGAGATTCCATGAGCCTCTCCAGTGAATCAGAAGATTCCCAGAAGGGGGCGCCGATGGCCAGGGCAAGGGGGGTCCCAGGGGGGACACACCAGAAGCAGGGGGCCAGCGGAGACTCCCAGAGCAGTAGCTGGAAATCAGTACCAGCTTCCCCACCAGAGCATAGTGGGGGGGAAGAGTCCCATAGGTCAGTCAGCGTCTCCTCCGGCAAGCAGGGAGGAGGAGTCAACCCAGCTAGCGTCCCCGAAGAGGGAAGCAGCGACAGGAGCAGTATAACGGTCAGAAGGAAGGTGGCAGGCTGGGCGCACGCGCCAAGTTCAAATGTACAGGCGCGCGGGACAGCAGGAAGCCCGGATTGGGAACCAGGTCCTAAAGCCCGCCGGAGGGAGGGGGAGGACTCGGGGGACTCAGCTTCAGAAGAGTCTAGAAAGGGGAAAACCCCGGCGAACAGGCGGACCCAGAGGAAAAGGGAGCAGAGGAAGAGGTGGAGCAAGGCCAGGGTCTTAAACTGGTGTCTGGGGGGAGGAGACTCAGACGGAGCTTCGGCGGTCTAGGGTTTAAGACGTAGAGCTGCACGCCGTGGCTGTAATTGAGAAACTGAACTTCAATAAAGACTATTTAATATAACAACGGACTGGCGTTGGTCCTCTGTGAGCTGGGACCTGGGGCAGCTCTGACAAACGTGAATAACAATAAATTTAGAATTCAAAAATCAATTTAGGGGGGAAATCCATCCAATAAACATTTAGAACGTGACTGGGCTGCATCCGGCCCCCAGGCCTTAGGTTGCCTACCCCTGACCTAGACAGAAAGAGATAACAGGACCAGGTTAAGCCAACTGTACTTGTTAAGTTGTGGGTGAACATATCAGACGACACAGTGACACAGACGAACAGCTCTTGTTTATTCACAGGCCAGGACAGAACTGAACTGAAGGGTTCAGTCAGCCTGCTTATATAGAGATCCAGTACAACGTAACTGTAACAATTTTCTAAAACTATCCAATCACTGAATGTCACTTTCGATCCCTTATTTGCATAACTATCTACAGTATCCCCCTGCTGGCCCAGGGTGAGAACTTCAGTACATAACAGTACTCAGCTTCTCAGAAGGAATAACCCAAACACCACGAACCTTCTGCCTGTTTCTTTCATGCAGAAAAGCTTCCAGAACCCTCTCGAATTACTTAGAAGAGGAAAGATCTCTTAACACATCAGATCAAGACTTTCTGTACTGAGATGTGCAAACTGGTACTTACGTGGGCTCCCCCAATCGCATGGTCCCGTCGGCACGGCACACGATCTCGCTGCGGGCTCCGTCCATGAACTGCGCCAGCCAGCCGATGCTCCCCATGAAGAAGCAGGCGTTGACGTAGAAGAGGATGACCGCTGGGTACCGGTTCGAGTTCTTCCAGTCGGCGAGGAATGTGGCCTGCGGACAGCAGGGAGTTCAATCCTGATCAGTTTGCCTGCACGCGCCTGTTCCCCGCTGGAGACGGGTTCGCCCAGCCAACGGAGAATGGATTTGGTGATCTACATGGGCTCCCAGGACGTTTCCAAGCACAATTCAAAGTGTTGGCGCTGAACTTGAAAGTTTGCCTAGGCAAACTTGGTCCTCCATATGCTTTGGGACTACAACTCCCATCATCCCTAGCTAACAGGGACGATGGGAATTGTAGTCCCAAAACGCCAGGTGGGCTGAGTTTGCCTACGCCTGCCCTAAGCTGCCACATTTACCTGAAGGAGCATCTCCACCCCCATCGTTCAGCCCGGACGCTGAGGTCCAGCTCCGAGGACAAACACCCAGCTTGCAAGGTGTTAAGGGCTTTACTGGTTGAGGTCAGGACCTTGAAAGGGGCTCGGTAACTTACTGAGGGCCTTCTCGGTGGTGGCACCCGCCCTGTGGAACGCCCTCCCACCAGATGTCAAAGAGAAAAACGACTACCAGACTTTTAGAAGACATCTGAAGGCAGCCCTCTTTAGGGAAGCTTTTAATGTTTAATAGATTACAGTGGTACCTTGGGTTAAGTACTTAATTCGTTCTGGAGGTCCATTCTTAACCTGAAACTGTTCTTAACCTGAAGCACCACTTCAGCTAATGGGGCCTCCTGCTGCCGCCGCACCGCCGGAGCCCGATTTCTGTTCTTATCCTGAAGCAAAGTTCTCAACCCGAGGTACTATTTCTGGGTTAGCTGAGTCTGTAACCTGAAGCGTATGTAACCCGAGGTAGCAATGTATTGTATTTTAATATTCTGTTGGAAGCCGCCCAGAGCGGCTGGGGGAATCCAGCCAGATGGGCAGGGTATAAGTAATAAATTATTATTATTATTATTATTATTATTATTGGGAGCCAGTGCGGATCTTGCAATAATTGCTGCTACATGATGGAAGTCTGGTCGATATTATTGCGGCTGCGTTCTGTGCTAGCCGCAGTGTCTGGACCGTCTCCAAGGGCAGCCCTAAGGACAGTGCACTGTAGTAGTTTAATCCTGCTCACCAAAGTGAAGAAGGTGCAGAAAATGGTGACGGAGCTGAAGGAGGCGATGTAGACATGCATTTCACGGTGCTCCTTCTCAGTGAAAAGGGGGTTCTGGCACTGGATGCCGCAGCCTTCGACGTCCTCGTACCAACTCTTGGGGTTGTCCGTCCGGACCAGGGGGGCCTCACACTGCCCAGAGCTGTTGAATTTGATGTTCTGGACCTCATTCTGTGCAGTGGAAACAGTGGAAACAGAAATGGGATTAACTGTGGACTACAATTTTGTGGTACAAAAGTGGTATTACCTGTAAGGTTATATCATATTACATAATCTGGAATTAGGAAATGTGGAGTGATGGGAACATACAGTCATATGTGGTGGGACTGTCCGTTAGTTAATGAATTCTGGAAACAGACTGGTATAGAAATATCGGGAAATGTGGGTAGGATGGTGGAAATATCTAAATTAATGGTTCTTTTTAGCCTGAGTAGCACCGAGTTAGAAACAAAAGAGGAATGTAAATGGGTAAAATTGATGGTAATTGCAGCCAGACAGGTTATAGCGAGTAACTGGAAAAATGCAGAAGAGCTAGGGGTGAACCAATGAAGGGAAAACATGAAAAATATTGTAATCTTAGAATATCTAACTGTGAAGATAGATAAAATGAAAGGGTTTAAGGTCAGTGAGGAGGAGGAGGATTGGTTTGAGAAGATATTGAATTATTTGGGCAGGTTTGAACAATTTGGGGCAATTAAAACGTTGAAAGTTAAACAAACCTTGTGGAGGGAGGAGTGTTAAGGTTTATAGAATTGTACATATGGTTAATTCGAATATGTTATTATTGATTATGTATACCCAATGTATCAGCCGCTTGGAGGGGTTTTCACTGTTTGTTTTCAATGTTTGTGTTTTGGTTGTCGGTAAAAATAAAAAATTAAAAACGAAACAAAACTGTGGACTACAGCAGAGGTTTTTAAACTGTGGCGGCCCAGGAATCTCAACGTGGTGGCAATTGCCAGTGGCAAAACGCTGACCTCGATCACCCCAGATGTTCTGGAGCACATTTTCCACTGAGAAATGAATGGGCAGAACTGCAGAACAGGGGCTTTCTGTCTCAGCTGATCTCCCTGTTAGGATATAGTTCCATCCCACCTTAAAAGGGTACAGGCAGGACTGTGTGTGTCACATGCCTGTTTACTTCCAGCAGAGTCTGCTGGGAACTTCCGCTTGTATATAGCTTTTGGGTTACTGCTGTTTTGCTGGAGACGAAGGGAAGCAGACATGTTTTCCTCTGTTCCCTGACCTGGCCACAGTGATCCATGCAATGGTCACCTCCAGGCTTGACTACTGTAATTCGCTCTACGCGGGGCTGCCCTTGAAGCTGTCCCAGAAACTCCAGCGGGTGCAGAATGCTGCAGTGACGCTCCTCACGGGGTCTCTGCCATGGGACCATATTCACCCAGTGCTTTACCAGTTGCACTGGCTCCTGGTGGAGTATCGGGTCAGGTTCAAGGTGCTGGTTTTGACCTTTAAAGCCCTTCGCAGCCCAGGACCCTCATACCTACGGGACCGCCTCTCCTGGTATGCCCCATGGAGGACCTTAAGGTCCATATATAGCAACACCCTAGAGGTCCCGGGCCCTAAGGAAGTTAGATTAGCCTCAACCAGAGCCAGGGCCTTCTCAACACAGGCCCCGGCCTGGTGGAACGCTCTGCCTCATGAGACCAGGGTCCTGCAGGATCTGATTTCTTTCCGCAGGGCCTGTAAGACAAGAGTTGTTCTGCCTGGCCTTTGGCTTAGAATCAGTTTGATCCCCTCCCCCTCTTTCTTTTTCCTTTCTCCTCCTATGAAGAGATTGCTCCCTAATTGTTTTAATGTTGTGTCTTAATCTTTTAAATTGTATTTTAATCAACTTGTTTTTATTATCGGTTGTTAGCCGCCCTGAGCCCAGTCTTGGCTGGGGAGGGGAGGGTATAAATAAAAATTATTATTATTACTATTGTTATTATTATTGTTATTATTATTATTATCTGAGGCTCGTGTCGCTGTTTGATGCTGTTCCAAGGGAGATCGGCTGCCGGCCGGTGGCTGGAGCCAGCTGGGGGCCTTGCCTGATGCCACCCATCTTCCTGGCAGTATCCAACACTTCCCCCCAACTGCAGCTCCCCCTACAGGACGTCCTGGTGCCAGCCCCCACCACCCCCTGCTCTCGTACCGGACAGCCTTCAGGAAAGCGTCCGTGGTGCACTTGAGGAAGTCCGGCCAGCCTCGTTCTCGTTCCACGATGGTGCAAGGGCCCCGGGTGGCTTGGCAGAGGGTCTGGCTGGGCAGCTCAACTTGGCCATCCTCACACTTGGGCATGTACACGGCGCAGAGGAGGGGCTGGATCACGTCCCAGCAGCGGGGGGCATTTCGTAAACCTTGAAATAAAAAAAGAGAGAGACAGGAGTCAATCATCCCTCGACATCTGTTATTGGCAATCCCTGTCCCCTTAACAAATATATAAAAGCTTCTTTCTCCAGAGGCCACTGGGGCCTGGAACCTGCAGTAAATAATAATAATAATAATAATAATAATAATAATAATAATAATAATAATAATAATAATAATAATAATATATTATTTATAGCCCGCCCGCCAACAAAAGGTCCGTATAGTTCAAGCTCTGGTTTTCCCAGTAGTGATGTATGGAAGTGAGAGCTGGACAATCAAGAAGGCTGATCACCGAAGAATGGATGCTTTTCGAATTCTGGTGCTGGAGGAGACTCTTGAGAGTCCCATGGACTGCAAGAAAGATCCAACCTCTCCATTCTGAAGGAAATCAGCCCTGAGTGCTCACTGGAAGGACAGATCCTGAAGCTGAGGCTCCAAGACTTTGGCCACTTCATGAGAAGAGAAGACTCCCTGGAAAAGACCCTGATGTTGGGAAAGATGGAGGGCACAAGGAGAAGGGGACGACAGAGGACGAGATGGTGGGACAGTGTTCTCGAAGCTACCAGCATGAGTTTGACCAAACTGCGGGAGGCGGTGGAAGACAGGAGGGCCTGGTGTGCTCTGGTCCAGGGGGTCACAAAGAGTCGGACATGACTAAACGTCTAAACAACAACAACACCCCACCCACCTGGCTGGGTTTCCCCAGCCACTCTGGGCAGCTTCCAACAGATTAAAATACAATAACCTATTAAACGTTAAAAGCTTCCCTAAACAGGGCTGCCTTCAGATGTCTTCTAAAAGTCTGGTAGTTGTTTTTCTCTTTGACATCTGGTGGGAGGGCGTTCCACAGGGTGGGCACCACCACCGAGAAGGCCCTCTGCCTGGTTCCCTGTAACTTGCTAAAATGCACGTGCTTTAAAAGTTATAAAAGAAACAAAGAATTGCCAAGCTAGCTGACCGGCTACTCAAAACACTGTATTTGAACACAGAAAAGTTGCAGCTCCTCCGATGGCCAAGATCCAAGGTAGCTGAGGCTGTGAGCCGTTGGGCAAGAGCGTAACTTAAGAGGCACCTCAGTCCAAGAAGGATATTGACAAGCTGGAAGGTGTGCAGAGGAGGGCAACCAAGATGATCAAGGGTCTGGAAACCAAGCCTGATGAGGAACGGTTGAAGGAGCTGGGTATGTTTAGCCTGGAAAGGAGGAGACCGGGAGGAGATACAAGAGCCATCTTCCAATATCTTAAGGGCTGTCCCTTGGAAGATGGAGCAAACTTATTTTCTCCTGCTCCAGAGTAGGACCAATGGCTTCAAGTTACAAGAACGGAGCTGTTCGACAGCAGAATGGATAATACAGTGATACCTCGGGTTAAGTACTTACCGTATTTTTCGTCCCATAGGACGCACCTAGTTTTTTGGGGGGAAATAAAGGAAATTTTTCCCCCTTTATTTTCCCCCCAAAAGCAGGTCGTGGAAACCGAACCAGGTCGAGGAACAGCGGGATGGTGGCGCTGCGCCTCCCTGCTGTCCCCCGAGCTTGTGGGGCTGGCCGATGTCTGTCCGGCTCGAGGGGCGTTCTGCTTCAGGGCGCCCCGCCCGCCGGGCGGCAGGCTGCTATCCGCAGCGTGGGGAGCCCTGCAGGGAACTCCTGCAGGGCTCCCCACGCTGCAGATGTCTGTCTGACGGGCGGGGCGCTCTGCTTTCAGGGCGCCCGACGCTCCGGGAAGCAGGCTGCTATCCGCAGCCTAGACAGCCCTGCGGGAACTCCCCCAGGGCTGCCTAGGCTGCGGAGCGCGAAAAATACGGTAATTCGTTCCGGAGGTCCGTACTTAACCTGAAACTGTTCTTAACCTGAAGCACCACTTTAGCTAATGGGGCCTCCTGCTGCTGCCGCGCCGCCGGAGCCCGATTTCTGTTCTTATCCTGAAGCAAAGTTCTTAAACTGAAGCACTATTTCTGGCTTAGTGGGGTATGTAACCTGAAGCATATGTAACCCGAGGTTCCACAATAATAATAATAATAATAATAATAATAATAATAATAATAATAATTTATTTATACCCCGCCCATCCGGCTGGGTTTCCCCAGCCACTCTGGGCGGCCTCCAACTGAATATTAAAATACAATAATCTATTAAACATTAAACATGACCTTGGAAGGTGGTAATCGTTCCTTCACTGGAAGTTTTCAAACACTGGAAGTTATATAGAGGGCATGACCAGAATAACAGCTGCCCAAGTACTTGCAGAGAGAGACAAGAAGATATATCTGTGTGGGATCAACAGGAAATTATTGGCGTGTTTTGTGCCCCTTCCATGACCGGATCCTTTTTCTGCCTCTTGAGAAAAAGATCAATAGAAGCAGAAAAGAAACAGCAAAAGGCAAGCCATTCGCAGAGATCCTTCACGTAGGAGGAAACAGCTTAAGTGTTTATTGAAACTTTCGCAATACATGCCCTTTCAAAAGTCATTTGGGGAGACTTTGGATGTTCCCTGTTCTGTTCCATAAATACTACAGTTGAACCATCATTTCAAGGCTGCCATTGCCTATTTTGAAGGAGGAATGTTCAAAACATCTCACCTCAAGATGTCTAAGGGCAGAAACTGCGCACAGCAGATCTGTTTGTGCCAGGAGGTGAGCCTGTGAAGAGACATGACTACATCCACAAGTTGCGTCTGGGACTTTTTGACTCCTTGGAGGAGGGACTGGTATATTTTGGAAGGGGGGGGAGGACCTGGAATTATGCAAATATGTCTGGGAAACAGAAATCTTGAAATTGAAGAGACCAAAGCCTAGGTCCAGTATGTCTGAAGGAGCGTCTCCATCCTCATCGTTCTGCCGGGACACTGAGGTCCAGTGCCGAGGGCCTTCTGGCTGTTCCCTCGCTGCGAGAAGCCAAGTTACAGGGAACCAGGCAGAGGGCCTTCTCGGTGGTGGCGCCCGCCCTGTGGAACGCCCTCCCACCAGATGTCAAACAGAAAAACAACTACCTGACATTCAGAAGACATCTGAAGGCAGCCCTGTTTAGGGAAGTTTTTAATGTGTGACATCTTAGTGTATTTTTGTCTTTGTTGGAAGCCGCCCAGAGTGGCTGGGGAAACCCAGCCAGATGGGCGGGGTACCAATAATAAATTATTATTATAAAAAATTATTATTATTTCAGGTGCCCTCCACCTTCCTCCCTCTCTGCCAAGCTAGGGACCCTCTCCAAATGCATGTGCTTAAAAGATGTGTGGAAGGTCTTCCACAGAGGTCTTCCAGCTATGGGTTGCCAAACACAGGCAGATGTACCAATTCATGTGTAAAGGTAAAGGTACCCCTGCCCGTACGGGCCAGTCTTGCCAGACTCTGGGGTTGTGGCGCTCATCTCACTCTATAGGCCGGGAGCCAGTGCTGTCCGCAGACACTTCCGGGTCACGTGGCCAGCGTGACATCGCTGCTCTGGCGAGCCAGCGCAGCACACGGAACGCCGTTTACCTTCCCGCTAGTAAGCGGTCCCTATTTATCTACTTGCACCCAGGGGTGCTTTCGAACTGCTAGGTTGGCAGGCGCTGGGACCGAGCAACGGGAGCGCACCCTGCTGCGGGGATTCAAACAGCCGACCATGCGATCAGCAAGTCCTAGGCGCTGTGGTTTTACCCACAGCGCCACCCGCGTCCCAGGTGTCTGTGTGGCTAATTCTAGAGGGGCCATCCTGGAAGGCTGCAAAAGATCGCAATGGATTGCTCTAAAGTCACTACAGCACCAGATTTTGGGGGTGAGGGAATCGTCCGCCAACTGCAGCATCCTGTATTTTGCTGAGGTGGCGATCCTACACCCCGGCGTCACGGGTGCCAACTCACTGGGGCCCTGGGTGCAAGAGCACGCACAAAATCGCCCACGGAGGGATTAGGACCCTCGTACCGATGGGACCTCGTTCCTCACAGCTTAGGACCCTCGTACCTACGGGACCACCTCTCCTGGTATGCCCCACGGAGGACCTTAAGGTCCATATATAGCAACACCCTAGAGGTCCCAGGTCCTAAGGAAGTTAGATTAGCCTCAACCAGAGCCAGGGCCTTCTCAACACTGGCTCCCGCCTGGTGGAACGCTCTGTCTCATGAGACCAGGGCCCTGCAGGATCTGATTTCTTTCCGCAGGGCCTTGTTCCGCCTGGCCTTTGGCTTGGAGCCAATTTGATTCCCTCCCCCTCTTTTAATGTTTCCATATTTTAATGTTGTCTTTTTATCTTGTTTTGAAGTTGCATTCATTCAACTTGGTTTTATTATTGCTTGTTAGCCGCCCTGAGCCTGGCCTTGGCTGGGGAGGGCGGGGTATAAATAAAAATTATTGCAGTGGTACCTCGGGTTAAGTACTTAATTCGTTCCAGAGGTCAGTTCTTAACCTGAAACTGTTCTTAACCTGAAGCACCACTTTAGCTAATGGGGCCTCCTGCTGCCGCCATGCTGCCGGAGCACGATTTCTGTTCTTATCCTGAAGCAAAGTTCTTAACCTGAAGCACTATCTCTGGGTTAGTGGAGTGGGTATCCTGAAGCGTATGTAACCCGAGGTACCACTGTATTATGATGATGGAGGGCCAGGCACCCACACATTTTGGCACGCTGCATGGCACCCCCGGTCGCGGGGCTCCCCCACCCCCGTCCAGCAGCCCCCTTACCGGACCACAGGAGCAGCTTGTCGTGCGCCTCCTCTTGCGAGCTGGAGTCCCCGGCCAGGAGGGTGGAGGTGGCGGCGTAGGGCAGCGGCGAGCCCAGGCACACGCTTTGCTGGAGCGCTTCGCATTGCGCCGCGCGCTTGCACCGCTCCTCGCCCCGGCCCGACGGCGCCGCCGCCGCGCTCCCGTTGAGCCTCGAGGCCCCCGCCGCCGCCCCGCCGTCCGGGGCGCCCAGCCCCACGCCCAGCAGCCCCCAAAGCAGCCACCGGACCAGCCCCAAACGGGCCATCGGAGCGTCCGCGCCGCCTGCGCCTCCTCGGGTTTCCCCGGCCGTGCGCCTAGGGCGCACCGGGCTCCGCGCGCAAGGCGCCTCCTCGTCCCGGGAGTCGCGGGCCGGGCTGCATCGCCGTCGCCTCGGCCTGGGCCTGGGCCCCACCGAAGGCCATGATCCGGAGAGCCGCCCCCTGGGCCGAGGCAGCCCCCGGGATGCTTCTTCCGTCCCCCCAAAAAAGTCAGGAAGGAGCGGGAGAAAGAAAAACTTGGCGCGGACTTTTGCCAAAAAGTTCCCAAGCAGAAGAAAAGCGTTGCAAAGTTTTGGCCGCCTCTTGCGGCAGTTCCTGCCGCCGCCGCCCGCTCCTCCCGCTCCTCCTCCTCCTCTTCGGGCTTCTTTGTTGCTTTTGCTCCTTTCTCAAGAATGCGGGGCCGGGGGAGGGAGCCCAAAAGAGGGAGAGGAGCCCGGGCTCGCCGCCTCCCCCTTCTGCCTCCGCGATGGAAGCGCAGCGGGGGAAGGAGACGCCGAGAGAAAGCGAGCGAGCGAGCGAAGAAGACCGAGGAGAGGGAGACAGAGAGAGAGAGAGATCAGACCCCCCCACTCCCCCCAAAAAACTTGGGGAGCCCAGAGAGGGAAAAAACAAGCAACCCCGTGTGTGGAGAGAGGGACTGCCTCGCTCCCCCCTTCCCCCAAAAACACAGGAAAACCCAAAACTTGCCGCCGCCTCCCGACGCGCCCTGGGAGGAAAAAAAAGTTACGTGTCCGTCGGTCACTGTCTAGCGTGACCGAGCGACGGATCTTTCATCACATTATTTTTCATTTACTTGTTTCCCGGACCTCCTCGTACAGTACCTCCCTTTTTTGTATTCCAGTTCAATTTATTAGCTCAGCAGTTTCTTTCCCTCTTTATTCTACCCAGATCTTTAATCTTAAATTGTTATAACATTAAATTTTTACTTATAAAAAACCATTTTTTCATACTCTTTTATACCATTAGCTAGAAACCATTTACCGTAATTTCAATCCAACATCATTCTAACATTCATTAATTTTACAGTATCTCTGTAAATAGTCTTTAAATTTTTCCAATCTTCTTCCACCGACTCTTCTCCCTGGTCTCAGATTCTGCCAGTCATTTCCACCAATTCCATGTATTCCATCACTTTCATCTGCCATTCTTCCAGAGTGGGTAAATCTTGTGTCTTCCAATACTTTGCAATAAGTATTCTTGCTGCTGTTGTAGCGTACATAAAGAAAGTTCTATCCTTCTTTAACCCCGATTGGTCAACTATGCCCAGGAGAAAGGCCTCTGGTTTCTTCAAGAAGGTATATTTAAATACCTTTTTCAATTCATTATATATCATCTCCCAGAAAGCCTTAATCCTTGGGCACGTCCACCAAAGGTGAAAGAATGTACCTTCAGTTTCTTTACATTTCCAACATTTATTATCGGGCAAGTGGTAGATTTTTGCTAGCTTGACTGGGGTCATGTACCACCTGTATATCATTTTCATAATATTCTCTCTTAAGGCATTACATGCCGTAAACTTCATACCTGTGGTCCATAACTGTTCCCAGTCAGCAGCGACGGATCTGGGGGGGGATGGCGGCACAGATTTTAAGGAGCCGGCTGGGTTATCCAAGGCAGCCTGTGCCAACCGGGTGCCTTGTAGAAGTTTTGGATTACAGCCAGTGCCGGATTTACGTATAAGCTAAACAAGTTCTAGCTTAGGGTCCCACTCTCTTGGGGCCCCCCAAAAAATTAAAGGGGGGAAAACTGGATGTACATTTCCAAAACAGAAGATGAAAAACCAATAAAATAAAAGCTACGTACAGCAACAGTGTTTTGTGTTGTGTAGGCTCCTATGATGTGAGTCATGGGCTCCGCCTGCTTGCCTGCTCCCTAAAATATCACTGCTTTGCTCCTTTCTATATATAGGGTGCCTACATTCTGCATGGACTGGTTGCAGGGCAACATGTGCAAATGGCTTGAGATACCTATTGGGTCCATCAGTTAACATTTAGCAAATATTCAACACAAAAAACAGCAACAATTTGTTGTTGACAAAGGACAGCTGGACATCTCAAGGGCCCCATTACGTTCAGTAGCTTAGGGCCTCATCAAACCTAAATCTGTGCCTGACTACAGCCCCCCCCCCCATGAGCCAATGGAATAGAAATATAATTAATTGATATTATTATTCGTTCAGTTTTTTAAAAAACACCAAATAAAACCCACAACAAACTGGGTTGCTGCATCCTAAGTCATCCTAAGAGGAGACCCATTGAAATTAGTGAATGTGGACCACTTAGGTCTGTTGACTTCATTGGGTCTACTCTATGTAAAACGTTAGTTGGATAGACTTGTATTTCTTTTCATACCCACCTACACGGTGAATTGAAACAGCAGATTGGCCTCAGAAGACTATGAGAGTCAGGACAGAGGTATTAATATTTATTTGCTTGCTTCCAGAGCAGTTTACACAACAGAACATCAAAAATAAATAAAATATTAAAATTACTATTAAAATATCATGGAAAATATTGCATAAATTATATTTGACACCAAGGAAAGAAGTTGTCGAGGATAAACCTTCACTGTTCTCCTATCGCAGGCATAGGCAACCTTGGCCCTTCAGATGTTTTTTGGGACTACAACTCCCATGATCCTTAGCTATCAGGACAAGTGGTCAGGGATGATGGGAATTGTAGTCCCAAACCATCTGGAGGGCCGAGTTTGCCTATGCGTGTCCTATAGGTTGGAGAGGGTGAGTGTTGGTCAGCACTTACCTCCATATTGGAAACTGATATGCCAGGAGATCGGTCAATGCATACATCCATCTCCAACTTTAGTGCTATTAAATATATTATTGGATAGAAATCTGGATACTGATCAGGGCAGGATTAACTATTAAGCAAATAAGCACGTGTTTAGGGCATCATTCCATTGCTGGGTTTTTAACAGTAATGGTCACAAATTGCTCAGCTGATGTATATTAAAAATCCCAACAGAAAACTGGGCAGCAAGACAGGCCAGATGCCTTATCTCTACTAAGTATAGAAGCAGATTTGTTGTGTAAAATTGGTTCTGAGGATCTGATCAAAGATTGCAATGGGGGGGGGGAGAACAGGATATATTTTTTCAAATAGAAATAAAGTGGAAGTATACAAAAAAAAGCAATGGTTCATTATTGTTTATATTGATCACTGCAGATGGTGACAGCAGTCACAAAATTAAAAGACGCCTACTTCTTGGGAGAAAAGCAATGACAAACCTAGACAGCATCTTAAAAAGCAGAGACATCACCTTGCCAACAAAGGTCCGTATAGTTAAAGCTATGGTTTTTCCAATAGTGATGTATGGAAGTGAGAGCTGGACCATAAAGAAGGCTGATCGCCGAAGAATGGATGCTTTTGAATTCTGGTGCTGGAGGAGTCTCTTGAGAGTCCCATGGGCTGCAAGAAAATCAAACCTCTCCATTCTGAAGGAAATCAGCCCTGAGGGCTCACTGGAAGGACAGATCCTGAAGCTGAGGCTCCAATACTTTGGCCACCTCATGAGAAGAGAAGACTCCCTGGAAAAGACCCTGATGTTGGGAAAGATGGAGGGCACAAGGAGAAGGGGACGACAGAGGACGAGATGGTGGGACAGTGTTCTCCAAGCTACCAGCATGAGTTTGACCAAACTGCGGGAGGCAGTGGAAGACAGGAGAGCCTGGCATGCTCTGGTCCATGGGGTCACGAAGAGTCGGACACGACTAAAGGACTAAACAACAACAAAGGGATATAATTTGCAGGAATATTAGACATGACTTCCTGGATCAGAGCAAAGTTGGGCCAACATTCCAGTTTGGATCCAAAGAGTCCTTTCTTTCGGTGGAAGGTGCTTAAACTCTGTTTAAGAAAACTCCTTCCACTGGAAGTATGGAGATTTGTCCAATCACAACCTAAAGTCTCCAATGGTAACCAGCTACATATTTCTACATATTTCAATGACCTTGACAGATTAGAGAACTGGGCCAAAACAAACAAGATGAATTTTAACAGGGAGAAATGTAAAGTATTGCACTTGGGCAAAAAAAATGAGAGGCACAAATACAAGATGGGGGACACCTGGCTTGAGAGCAGTACATGTGAAAAGGATCTAGGAGTCTTGGTTGACCACAAACTTGACATGAGCCAACAGTGTGACGCGGCAGCTAAAAAAGCCAATGCAATTCTGGGCCTCATCAATAGGAGTATAGCATCTAGATCAAGGGAAGTAATAGTGCCACTGTATGCTGCTCTGGTCAGACCTCACCTGGAGTACTGTGTCCAGTTCTGGGCACCACAGTTCAAGAAGGACACTGACAAACTGGAACGTGTCCAGAGGAGGGCAACCAAAATGGTCAAAGGCCTGGAAATGATGCCTTATGAGGAACGGCTAAGGGAGCTGGGCATGTTTAGCCTGGAGAAGAGGAGGTTAAGGGGTGATATGATAGCCATGTTCAAATATATAAAAGGATGTCACATAGAGGAGGAGAAAGGCTGTTTTCTGCTGCTCCAGAGAAGCGGACACGGAGCAATGGATCCAAACTACAAGAAAGAAGATTCCACCTAAACATTAGGAAGAACTTCCTGACAGTAAGAGCTGTTCGACAGTGGAATTTGCTGCCAAGGAGTGTGGTGGAGTCTCCTTCTTTGGAGGTCTTTAAGCAGAGGCTTGACAACCATATGTCAGGAGTGCTCTGATGGTGTTTCCTGCTTGGCAGGGGGTTGGACTCCATGGCCCTTGTGGTCTCTTCCAACTCTATGATTCTATGATTCTATGATTCTATGATTCTATGATTCTACAAATTTCACATGCTAGGCATAGCAGTGTTGGCAATCTACTCTAGAATCTGCCCTATGGATGTTTTGAGCTGCCAATCCCAACAGCCTCAGCTAGCATGGCTGCACTGGCTGGGGCTGATGGGAGTTGAAATCCAAAACATCTGGACGGGCACCAGATTGGAGAAGACTGGACAATTCCCTCAACATCTGGAAAGCAAAAGTAACCTGTTTCTGAAAGGGCCATCCCAACCATAACCTGTAAGATAAGGCAGGAACATAAGAACAGCCCTGCTGGACCAGACCAAAGCAGAGTTTCTCGAACCCAGTACTGGGTTTCTTTGGGAAATTTGAAGTCAAACCTAACTGCTAGTTAGTATGTGAAGGGGTTAAGGACCACAGAGTTCTAAATTGCTAGCGTAGTCTCAGTTATATCACACACACCCTTCTCCTAAGAGTAAGTTAGGCTTGTTTTCTGTTCCGTTTCTCTCTCTCGCTCTCTCCATTCATGCTACACACAACGGAGGCAAACATGCCTGAACATATCCCTTTGCCTCAGGCTGCCCTTGCTGCGTTTCCCCCCCAACTAAGAACCTTTGCCTGCATTTTATCATTGTTGCTAAGGGCAATGCATGACTGTAAGTAAAGTATACTTTAAACTTACTTCACTGTGTGGTCTGTTTCCTTGCTGGAGGGGCTGGAGGGGGCCAGTTGCCTCAAGTAGCTGGAACGAGGGGAGTCCCACATATAACACACCAAAGTCATCCTAACG